ATCTTTTGGAGATAAACCTGTATTTCAAGTTTCGTCAAAATCGGATAAGAATTGTGACCTGTACAGGGGTGACGACAGGGGTGACGACAATATACATCCACATGAAAATGTGGGCGTATAAAAACATATTACACACACTTGCACTATTAGCGTACAAAAAACGGCCATTTTGTTGGGCAGTTATGGTCCAAAATTCAAACTCAATTGTCATTTGGGTATAATTGATATATTTGAATGGTTTTTAAAATCAGATAACCAGCGGCTGCCAGGCAGGATACGCCCACATTTTCGAGAGATGGATAGAAAACAAGCTAAAATGAAAGTGATTTTTCCTACAATCAAGGGTCATAATTCAAGAAATTACAATTTGATATGCGTAAATATCGGAAGGAACCGAGATCTTTGGGTTATAAAATTACATTTCAAGTTTCAACAAAATCGGATAAAAATTGTGACCTCTATAGGGTCCACAACCTTGATATACCATATTTTTATGCAATTTGAGAACGAGGGGCGGCCATTTTGTCTGTCAGTTTTGGGCCGATTTTCACAAAATTTGAACTCAGCCGTCCTTAGGGTGTAACGGTGATACAATAATATGTTTTTTTAAATCGGATAAAAATTATGACCTCTATAGGGTCCACAAGCTAAAAACGTGATTTTTAAACAATCAGGGGCCATAATTCAGGAAGTTACGGTTCGATATGCACAAATATGGAAAGGAACTGAGATCTTTGGGTTATAAACTTACATTTCAAGTTTCAACAAAATCGGATATAAATTGTGACCTCTATAGGGTCCACAACCTTGATATACCATATTTTTACGCTATTTGGGCGGATTTTCACGAAATTTGAACTCAGTCGTCCTTAGGGTGTAACGGTGATATAATAATATGTTTTTTTAAATCGGATAAAAATTATGACCTCTATAGGGTCCACAACCTAAAAATGCAATTTTTCGTACAATCAGGGGCCATAATTCAGTAAGTTAGGTTCCGATATGCACGAATATCGAAAGGAACCGAGATCTTTGGGTTATAAGCATACATTTCAAGTTTAAACCAAATCGGATAAAAATTGTGACCTCTACAGTGTTCACAAGCTAAAAACATGATTTTTCGTACAATCAGGGGCCATAATCCATGAAGTTACGGTCCGATACATGCCAATACCGAAAGAAACCGAGATCTATATTTTTCAGTAAGTTAGGTTCCGATATGCACGAATATCGAAAGGAACCGAGATCTTTGGGTTATAAGCATACATTTCAAGTTTAAACCAAATCGGATAAAAATTGTGACCTCTACAGTGTTCACAAGCTAAAAACATGATTTTTCGTACAATCAGGGGCCATAATCCATGAAGTTACGGTCCGATACATGCCAATACCGAAAGAAACCGAGATCTATATTTTTAAGTTTCATTGAAATCTGATAAAAATTGTGACCTGTAGACTGATTACAAACAATTGGGCGTATAAAAAATTGTTACCTCCAGAGTGTCCACAAGCTCAAAACATGATTTTTCGTACAATCCACAAAGGTACAGTCCGATACATTCTAATATCAAAAGGAACTGAGATCTTTGGGTGATAAACCTATATTTCAAGTTTCGTGAAAATCCGATAAAAATTGTGACCTGTAGACTGTCCACAAACAAATTGTGGCCGGACAGGCAGACAATATACATCCACATAAAAATACGGGTGTATACAAATATAATATGAATGTATATAAAGTGATTTATGAAAAAAAATTTTAAAAAAATTATTATTTCTAATCAATTATGTTAGGTGAAATACGTGAACAGTTCAAATTAAAAAGATAGGTTGCCAGGCAACGAAACATATACGCCCACAGCAGCTAAATCATCCAGGCAGTCAAGTGTTGTCGCATATTTTTTACTTTTTTGGTAATGAAACAATTATAATACACTAAAATCTGATTAAGAGTAACAACTCATGAAGTAATTATCAATCTGAAGTCAATCGGATGATAACTTTAGCCTCTAGAATGTCACAAGTTTTTTCAAAGGGCCATAAGTTTGGTAGTAATTATCAGAAATCGTTGAAAATCAATAGGATTCTTTGTCTCATGACCTCAAACACTGTGTATAAATTTAACGTCAGTCGGATATTAACTTTAGCCTCAAAGCATCCACAAGATTTTTTGAAGTGATCAAGGGCAGTAATTATTGGAAATCGCTGAAAATCAATAGGATTCTTCGTCTCATGACCTTAAACACTGTGTATAAATTAAAGTTAATCGGATATTAACTTTGGCCTCTAGAGCGTCCACAAGATTTTTGAAGTGATCAAGGGCCATAACTCTGGCAGTAATTATTGAAAAAAGCTGAAAATGAATAGGATTCTTCGTCTCATGACCTTAAACACTGTGTATAAATTAAAAGTCAAACGGATATTAACTTTAGCCTCTAAAGCGTCCATAAGATTTTTCAAAGTGATCAAGGGCCATAACTCTGGCAGTAATTATAGGAAATCACTGAATATCAATAGGATTCTTTGTCTCATGACCTTAAACACTGTGTATAAATTTAAAGTTAATTGGATATTAACTTTGACCTCTAGAGCGTCCACAAGATTTTTTGAGGTGATCAAGGACCATAACTCTGGCAGTAATTATCGGAAATGGCTGAAAATCAATAAGCTTCTTCGACTCATGACCTTAAACACTGTATATAAATTTAAAGTCAATCGGATATTAACTTTGACCTCTAGAGCGTCCACAAGATTTTGTGAAGTGATCAAAGGCCATAACTCTGGCAGTAATTATCGGAAATCACTGAAAATCAATTGGCTTCTTCGTCTCATGACCTTAAACACTGTGTATAAATTTAAAGTCAATCGGATATTAACTTTGACCTCTAGAGTGTCCACAAGCAATTGTGGACGCCGACCGGACGGACAGACGACAACAATATACGACCACATTTCAATGTGGGCGTATAAAAACAGTGGTTTATACCTGTTTATTCCATTCTACCCTATTTTATCATTATTATGCAATATGTGAATCAGTCATTACTAATTATTTCTGCATTGCTGGTGGATGGAGAATGGATAGCACATGCGCGGTGTATCATAAGATCTTTTATTGAGTCAACTGGCGCGGTTTCGATTCCCCAGCAGGGCAGTATCTAGCGGGGGTGCAGCGGGTACATTGCACCCCCAGAAAAATAAGGCGCCCAGAGAAATGGCGCCCCCTCAAAAAAATTGACAACCTTTCAATTATAAAATAATACACGTGATTATGATCACACAGTGATGCTCTTAAGGTACTGATCAATCGGTCGGTTTTAAGGTGCCCACATGCCAATAGGTATCTGATCCAAACACTGTTATATCACCTATGTGGAGGCTATGGGGTGCCACCACAGGCGCGGATCCAAGGGGCGGGGGAACTAGTATCAACTGCCTCTCCTAAAGGAAATCTGCCGCCGCTGAAAAAAATTGACCATATAAAATACAAAATCGACTCTTAGATATCACCAGAGTTGCCGAAAAACGTGTTTCCAGCAGCGGTATTTTTCAAAATTTTCTGAGGGCGGACCCCAATAAGCAAAATGCCACCCCTATCACCCCTTTCTGGGTCAGCGCCTGCCCCACCACATGACATTAGAGGGTTCGTTTTGGTTGCCCTTTCCACATTTGATAGGGCCTTATCGGTCTTTGGGGGCGCCGCCACCAAATGACATTATTAGAGATTCTCGTTCTGGTCGCCCTATCCACATGGCCTTATTGGTGTTTCGGACTAGTTCTAGATTAGAGGACAAGAAGTTTCTTATTTTGGTGTGTTTAACATCAAAATGAGACATAGCACCACCGAAATTGACACACGGGATCACTTGCTAGCGAATTTGATTGTATATCCAAATGCGTGAAAAACGCGTTTGCGGCAGTCTAATTTTCAAAATTTTCAGGGGGAAGGGTCTGTCAGACCCCGCCCTCCCACACTCGCCCACCGCTTCGCTGATCCGCGCTCAGTAACTCGGGCATTATATTGCCGCCCCCCCACCACTCTGCTGCACCCCAGTTGTATATGGCAACCTCGTGGGTCTTATGGTTTCCTCCCACTGCTAAAGACCCCTACGTGCAAGCGAATGGTTGAAATAAAATTGAACCATGTGTTAGTCCCGAAATGACCTAGTTTGTGTTGAGTGGATATTAAACTCTCTCTCTCTCTCTCTCTCTTTCTCACTCACTCACTCACCCTCATATATTAGGATCCCATATTATCACTGCAAGACAACATTAATATTGATTGAAAGGGACCAATATTGAATTCTTATTCATGTTTTTTTATTTTGAATATTATGTAAAATATTGAGTTAGAGGTTTAGTTAATCCCTTTAATAAATTTCCTTAGTAAACTAAATAGCTTATAATACTTTGACCTTTTTGATCTGGGTTAAGAATAAAATTGTTGATTTCATCAGATTATATAGCCTATTTCTTTTATGGGTTAACAACCTGTCTTCATTAAAAAATGTTACATCCACAGTAAAAGCCAATGTAATTGATTGTGTGTTCCAGGATACAGTAAGCCAAAAATGATACTAGAATTGGTAAACAAGCCAAATTCAATTGTGTTGAGCTTTGTCCCAACACTAATCAAAAAAAAAGAAACACATAAGACCACCCCAATAAATAATTTCTTTTGACATTTGCTAAAGTGACAGGAATACCATGGAATTAGTTTGATCTGAGATTAGTAAATATCTAAATACAGTAAATCACAATTTATATGTTAATATACTGTGTTCATTGAAATAACAATTAATTAAATTTTTAAGAATCTTTATATTACAGTTTTATGTTTTAATGACAGTAACTAATATTCCTAATCAATAAATCATGTTATCAATAACTATCCTGGTTACATCCAAGAAATTAAAACAGAAATCACCTGTATTCTTCTGTAATTTGACTGTAAACAGATGTGTAGAAATGACATATATAAAATCCTATTAAGACCTTACCTTCAACTAAGAGACCATCTGATCTATGACACTGAACAGTCCTATGGCCAGCAATCCATTTCCCAATACGCCAATCAAAGGTAAGGCATTTATCTGCATTGCACGGCATTTCTTCCCATAAGTTATCATCACACAGTGCATTGTCTTGACTTGGACTAGCCAATATAGAACGAGATCTAACTCTTACTCCATTTTTATGGCCTGGAATCAAACATGTTAAACGTCAGTATTACAAATGAATGCATTTAAACATCCAGAGATTTTTATTTTTCTTAATGTTTTTATATCAGGGTTTTTGTTTCAACATTTTGTCTGTCAGACATTTTTAGTTCAGGTAACAGAGGCCAGATTTGGGTCACTGGAAATCATTGTCAACTACAGGAAATAAAGTCAATAAGCTTTGTACACGTCAACAGACTTCAATAACAAAAATACTTCTCTATAATTTGTTATGCAGTAGTCCTCACACAATTATTTCTTGACAAATTGTTATATATGATATAATTTTTTTTATTTAAATATTTCTTTAGTTTTGTAATCGGAGTTCAGCTTTAATGGCAATAATTGCCGGTCTTTGATTATACGATTAAAACATCTGTGATAAGAATAGTTCATTATGACATCATTCATTTTCTTTAAAAAGGGTATTTTAAAATCACATCAATAGGTTAATCTCTTATCAAAATGCATGAAAGACTTCCTCATATTATCAATGTCTTGTTGTTTGTTATACACCCATGTCTAGATTGTGCAGTTTTCATGCCAAATTTATCCTTTTTATTAAACAGGCATTATGCAAGAGCTAAAGTCTGCCTATTGCAGGTCTTTCTTTGGGCCTTAAATGTTATATAAACTATAATTAGACATTTATTAACATGACAAGACCATAATCAGGTCTTGATGCCATTGGATAGATCCGATTTTAAGAAGATTAGAACTGTTCAGTCATTTAATGATTTAGTTTAAAAATGGTGAAGCAAGGCTATTAAGTACTATTGTTACAATCAGTGTAACATCTTGTCAAACCTTCAAAGGCTAATATCTTTTCTTAGAATAAAGAAATTTGAATAAAATTTTCAATACATTCATTTTGCATTATCTATTTGAAATATTATAGCAAGAACAGCCAGCTCTTTATCTAAATCTTACATAATGTATCAGAGCTATAGCAGCGTAATTCTATATCCAAGTGTTAATATATTTTAATGTATATTTGAGGGAAAATATGTTTATTAGCATGTAAACAGCTCATTGACAAATATATTTATAATCGATGCAAAATACTTTTTTGGCTGCAGATCATTTGCAACCAAATTATCGCAATAAAAGACCATTTTAATCTGACGATCATACCTGCGCAGCAAAGAAAGACGATGGCAGAACAAAGAGTTTAATTCCCAAATCTATAGAAATTATTTCAAATTATAGCAAAAAGAAACATTGCCATCGAAAATTATGAACAATAATTGGACGATTTGACAGAACAGCAGGGACATGAAACGACAAAAAAATTATTTCGTGATTTTAATTGTTGTGGTGAATTTATTTCTTTAATTTCCAGTGAAATTGAGGAAGAGATCTTCTCAGATATCCGAACTAGTCCTGCTGCATTAAATCCCGACAATTGTATATGGGTAGCACTAAAAAATAAACTTATCTGGATCACGACAATTGGCCACGTGACCTTTGGCCCGTACAGCATATTTCCGAGTTCCGACTATACACGGAAACTAATTTGTGCTACTTTGTTATTTATATACTTATATACTTTGTTATTTTTATATATATTAACATGTGCTTACGAATAAAATAATTTAAAAAAACATTTGTATGTACTTGTAGTTTTTACTAATTTATAACTTCTGTTTAGTTGGATGAAAGCAAAAGTAGGAATATGCAATGCAAGTTGCTGAAATAATAATATGACTATAAATGTCGATATTATAGCGATGTATGAATACAAGTATGCAATTACAAAGGTCTTGTTTATTCAGAGTTTCAGCTATTGTTATCCCGAATACTTTATGCAATTAGTGAATTATGCAATTACTGTCGTGAATAGAGTATGCATAAACCAACATGTTCGTTGTTGAAAAGACGACTAACCATTAGGCCTACCCGTGGCCGGTTCATTTCAAAATGGATTAAGAACCCTGATTAATCCTCCGGCTGAAAAACAATTTGGTTCATCCTCTTACAGTCCTAATGTTGCACACCGAATCTGGAAACAAGAGCATCGCTAACGCTGCAATATATGTCCACATTCCTGCTTTGATTGATATGGTACTTTTTAAAATGAATAGAATGAAATATGAAGTGGCTGTAATATGACAAGAGGCAAAGAAGGATAGGTGTTGGGTTTGTTTTGCCATACTTACAGACAAAATATTAACAAAAAAGTGGGTGTGACACTGCCCCAGGGGTTCGGGGCATGCACCAAAATAAATGGTTGCTGCCTTTACGGTATAAGGAATAAATATGCAAAGTTCCAAGATTATCCATTCAGAATTGAAGCCTGTAAATGATAAATACAAAAATTGTGCATGGCTCTGCCCCTTGGGGCTGGATATGGAACAATATAAATAGGTACCACCCTGTTATTGAAATGATTGATGTGCTGAATTTGAACAAAATCTGTTAATTATTGCAACCTGTAGAGTATTTACTAACAAACTAACAAAAAAGTGGACATGGACATGCACCAAAATAAATAGTTGCAATCCTTACAGTATAAGGAATAAATATGCCAAGTTCCAAGATATTCCTGAGGGTACAAAGAATAAATATGCAAAGTTTCAAGATGATACGTTAAGAAATGTGGTCTGTAGACGACAAACAAACAAATACAAGAAATGGGCATGGCTCTGCCCCTGGGGGTCGGGCATGCACCAAAAGTAATAGGGATCATCCTTAGGGTATAAGGAATAAGTATGTAAAATTTCAAGATGATCACTAAAGAATTGTGGCCTGTAGGCGACACACAGACACGCACACACACACATACGTGTTTATGGTCCTTTTCGATTACATCGGTATATATATACCAAATTGAGGACAGCGTTTAAAACAATATTTCGATGAAATATAAATTCAATTCTTTATCCATATTTGCTACACTATATCCCCTCCGACTGTTTTTAAGAATGAGAATTTTTCTTCTATAAGAGAGGACACACAAAGATGATTTTGCACATGTCACACCTGACTCACGCTCGGAAACCGAGGTTCCTTTATTAATACCGTCTATTGAGGACACACACTTGCATTAGATGTCGGCCCCCCTTATCGAGGACCTTTTGTTTTAAGCATGTAATTTAAGACACCTGATTATGGTCTTCATAATGTAACATAAACCGATATGTATTTGTTATAACTGACTATAAGAAACACCACGTACCAATCACTTACATTAACTGTCCTCGATTATGGGGGCCGACACTTAATGATAGTGTGTATGACCAGATAATTATGAACCTATAAATCAAGGACTCAAACACACGACTAATAATATATTGTATTTTGGACACATGAAGGGAAATTGAATAACAGGTAATATGAAAATCAATAAATGTTAACAAATATTCATAAATATGTCTATCATCAAACATCTGTATGTGTGAAAGGACCTCAATTGATAGGTGTGTGTTTATATGACAGACCTTGATGACACACTTGCATTAGGAGTCGGTCCCCATTATCGAGGACCTTTGAATTTAAGTACGTAATTTAAAACCACTGATTATATGCTGTCGTCCTTAACAAAAACAGAAATACTTCTTAATTGTAATAAGAAACGCCTTGTATCAATCATTTAGGATAGAATGACGCGTATACTTTACAGTAACTGTCCTCGATTATGGGGACCGAAACTTGATGCAAATGTGTATGAGCATATAAGCCTGAGCGTATGAATCGAAGACCTAGACACACGTCTAATAATAGATTATATTTTGGAGATATGAACAAAGAGTTAACGTATGTTATTCAAAAATTTTGCTTAACTTATTGGTGTTGGTACTGTACATTCTAATTGAGTGCAACAATCCGTTGTCTCCCCTTAGACCACAGAATCCTCTCGTTTTGTTTACAAATTAAACCAGAATGTTAAAACTTAAAATGTAGGAACCAGTCAAATAGAGGACGTGTAAATGTATAAAAGTATGTAATCGATGACTTCAAAATTCTTTCAAAGAGGGGCATACCTAGGTATACTGTGCATCTGTTTATAAATATCGAAACATGTCTGCATCTGCTATTGACTGTAACTGTGACATGACATGTAACTGTTAAGAATTCTAAGATACTGCTGGCAGCCATTACTGACTGTAAGACTCGTATCTACATTTGTAACAATTATGCCTTATAAAACAACACGTACCAGAAGTTATACATGTTATGTATCTATTACTGAGTGAACGATAACACATGTATATAATATGTTCATGTAAGACACCACCACATGTATATGTTCTTGTAGGACACTACATGCATATGTTTCTGAAAGACACCACATGTATCTGTTACTGGCTTTGACGCAAAGCATCTTATGTGTATGCTGTTGATTGTAAGACCACCTGTGTATCTGTTACTGGCGGCTATACACGACGTGTATCTATGAATTACGATGCCCTATGTATCCTTTACTGTAAGCCACCATGTTATATGCTACTAACTTCAAGACACGGCATGTATATATTGATAGGACACCTTGCTTGTGTATCTGTTACTTGAAGACTCGTGTTTCTGTTACTGACAGTTATACACGATATGTATCTGATTTATGACGCACCTTGTATCTTACTGTAAGACGCCTTGTGTATCAGTTGCTAACTTTAAGACGCAGTATCCTTCTATTATCAAAACCCAAAACATGTTTATGTTACTGAATGTAAGACACCCCCGTGTATCTGTTATTGACTGCTATAGACGATGTCTGTCTATTACTAGCAGCTATGCACGAGGTGTACAGGTATCTATTACTGATCAAAGATACCCTGTGTATCTGTTACTGACAGCTATCTATAACACAAGGTGTATCTATTACTGATTAAAGATCCTTGGTGTATCTGTTATCATTACGGTGTAACAGTGATATATTCGAACGTTTTTTCAAATCGAATAATAAATGTGACCTCTAGAGGGACCACAGGAAAAAACGTGATTTTTCGTACAATCAGGGGCTATAATTCAGGAAGTTACAATCCGATATGCTCAAATACCGAAAGGAACCAAGATCTTTTGGTTATAAACCTGCATTTCAAGTTTCATCAAATTTTGATCAAAATTGTGACCTTGAGGGTCCACAACCTTCGTATTACATACTTTTACACAATTTGCGTACAAAGAGCGGCCATTTTGTTGGGCAGTTTCCTTTCGATTTCCCGAAATTCGAATTCAACCTTCATTATGGTGGAATGGCGATATTTTTAAATGGTTTTTAAAATTGGAAAAAAGACTGTGACGTCTAGAGAATCAACAAGCTAAAAATGTGATTTTTCGAACAATCTAGGGGCATAATCCAGGTAGTAACATTCGGATATGCACAATTATAAAAAGGAACCAAGATCTTTGTGTGTAACGGTGATATATTCACACGTTTTTTTTTAAATCGGATAAAAATTGTGACATCGTACAATCAAATTGTCATAATTCAGGAAGTTACGATCCCATATGCACGAATACCAAAAGGAACCAAGATCTTTGGGTTGTAAACATGCATTTCATGTTTCATCAAATTCTGATCAAAATTGTGACATCTATAGGTTTCACAACCTTGATGTACTAGATGTTTACACTGTTTGCATACAAGGGGCGGCCATTTTGTCCGGCAGTTTTGATCCAATTTTACATAATTCAAACTCAACTAACATTACGGTGTAACAGTAATATATTTCAAAGTTTTTTTTAATTAAGATGATAATTGTGACCTCTAGAGAGACCACAATTAAGCTAAAAACGCCATTTTTCGTACCATCAGGGGGCATAATTCAGGAATATGAGCGAATATCGAAAGGAACCAAGATCTTTGTGATATAAACAAAAATATTAAGTTGCATCAAAATCGGATCAAAATTGTGACCTCTAGAGGGTCCACAACCTTGATACACAATATGTTTACACTACTTGCGTACGAGGGGCGTCCATCTTGTCCGTCAGTTTTGGTCTGATTTTCACGAAATTCAAACTCAACCAACATCACGGTGAAAAGGTGATATGTTAAAACCTTTTTTAAATCAGATAAAAATTGTGACCTCTAGTTGGACCACAAACTAAAAACGTGAGTTTTCGTAAAATCAGGGGATATAATTCAGGAAGTTATTGTCCGATTTGCGTGAATATCAAAAGGTACCAAGATATTTGGGTTATAAACATGCATTTCAATTTTCATCAAAATCAGATGAAAATTGTGACCTGTAGTGTCCACAAGCTAAAAACGTGATTTATCGTACAATCAGGGGCCATAATCCATAAATTTATGGTCCGATTTAATCCAATATCGATCGAATGAAACCGAAATCTTTGGGGGATAGAACTATATTTCAAGTTTCGTCAAAAACGGATAAAAATTGTGCCCTGTAGAGTGTCCACAGAAAGGGGCGACGACAATATACGTCAACATGAAAATGTGGGCGTATAAAAAATCTGTTAAAATCTGTAGCCTTTGTAATGCTTACAAGCTAATTGATGATGAACAGGCGAACAGACGGACAGCAACATTGACATATGACGACACTGAAATGTGGGCATATAAAAAAATTACTTAAGAGATATCTTTTGATGTTAGTTCAAGACAAGGCTTCAAATACATGGACATTTTTCGACTTCAAAGTTAAATTTCATGTGATTTAGTTATTCAATTAACTGAGCTCATTCTTACGATGTCTGATGAACGAAAATCCTAAATATTTTTGATAAGCTGAAGAAAATAGTACAAACCCTTTTTAAAATCTTGACAGTTTATATAACATAGAGTCCATGATGTCCAATCACTCAACATACATTCACCAGGACAAGGAACATGGCAGATTTCTTTAGTCTAAAAATATAAACGATTACGTTCGTTAGTAATTTGTATTTTGTATTAAGATAATCTGTTGTGTAAGAGGGATGTTTATGTTGTATTAATTGGCTGTCTGAAATATACTTCATGGGATTATAATGTAGACATTGATACAGAAAATTAATTATAAGGTTATATTGTAATTAAATATCAGTGCTATTATATGTTTAAGCTGTGATAATTACAAGTCCCTTTAGTAAATAAATTGTAGTGAACCTGATTAAAAGTATTCTTACAGTTAAGACCAATTTTTCTAAATCTGGTGGACATCTTGAAGAGTTGACTGATAAACCATCATCACCGACACAAGTAACATTCCTCAACCTAAAGCTGCTACCACATACACCTTTCTGTTAAAATAAATATAAATATACAATTGCTAACAATTTTTTTATTAATCTCCACTTTTAACTTCAACATTTGTTATTTATTTCTTGCAATGTCTATATCGTTTGTCTTGTCCGCAGGTTTGTCTTGTCGGTTTTGTTTTGCGTGTAGTGTGGTCCTCCTGCAGTTACTATTATTCTTATTCTTTTATTGATGTCCTGTAAAGGAGAAGTTAGTGTAACGGAGAAGTCAATTCGTTATCTATTAAACAAGATCTATTTACAACTAAATTTTTGTTAAGAGATATCAAGCAGATGTTAGTTGCTTACTAAATTAAGTTTTGTTTTTGGCTTAAACTGTCGAAACTGTACACAAAATGACTTATGTATCAACACTGGCCTCATCTGTGGACATAAAATTTTAAGTATAGAATTAATTAAATCAACATTTTCATAAATATGTCTAGTCAAGGCAAGGTGAACAACAGCTGGTTACCATAAACTAGTTTTAACTCTCACCTCTCTTAAACATGTTGACCATTCTGATACTTTCCATTTATAGCAGCCTGTGAGAAAACATGGTTTACTTTGTTGAAATGTAGATGGACATTTTCTACCATTACCAATAGGTGACTGTATTATTGTTCTATGTCTTGTAGAAATTCCTACAAATAAAATATAAATATCAACTTTTATTTAAATCATAGATCTATACAATCTCAACACAAGTTAAATATGGAGTGGAATTCACATAACATTTTTCTACACTTAACCGTTAAGTCTTAACCTAGGAATGCTTGTGCTAAATTAATATGCCTAATTTCATGAATGTAACTCCTTACATACAAAATTGCCTATTTACACATGGAAAACTGCTAATAATATGACTTATTTCTATGCATACTAGCATACTCATTAGGTTAAGAATATGAATTATGTCATGAATTCCACTCCATAGTTAAAAGATAGGTTGCCAGGCAACAAAACATATACGCCCACACCAGCTAAATCGTCCAAGCCGTTGACAAGGGTTGTCGCATATTTATTCCTTTGTAGGTAAAAGGGGCCTTTACAAGACAGTTCCATACAGATCAGATAATAAATTTTGTCGTTTGAGGGTTTACAAGGTTCTACAAACTGAAACAAGGGTCTCAACTCTGGAAGTAGTCTACAGAAATTGTTGAAATTTGACAGGATTTTTCGTTTTACTAATTTGAATAATGCATATAAATTTCATACAGATCACTTGATCACTTTTGTCATTCAAACGTTCACAAGGTTCACAATCACCATAACTCTATAGAAATTATTGACGGAAATTGCTGAAATTCAATAGACCTCTGTTTCACAAATTTCATTGATGCTTATAAATTTCATACATATCGGATGATAACTTTCATGAATCGAGCATTAACAAGGTTTAACAAAGTGAAATAAGGGCCATAACCCTAGAAGTAATTATCATAAATTGCTGAAATTCTATAGGCTTCGTGGTTTCACTAATTTAAATAATGCATATAAATTTCACAAAGATTTGATGATAACTTTCGGCGTTGGAGCATAAGGTTCAATAAAGTGAAAAGAACCATAATTCTAGACATAATAAACGGAAATTGCTGAAATTCAATAGGATTGTTTTTTTTACTAACTTAAATGGCACATGTAAATTTCGAACAGATCGGCAGTTAACTTTAGAGGTTACAGCCTTCACAAAGTGCAACAAAGTGAAACAAGGGCCATAACTCTAGAAGTAATAAACGGAAATTGCTGAAATTCAATAGGATTCTTCTCTTGACTAATTTAAATGACACATGTAAATTTCATACAGATCGGCAGAGCGTTAGAGCGTTCCCATGGTGCAATTACAAAGTGAAACAAGGGCCATAACTCTAGAAGTAATTGACGGAAATTGCTGAAATTCAATAGGCTTCTTCGTTTCACTAATTTAAATCAGGTGATAACTTTTGGCGTTAGAGCGTTCACAAGGTTCAATAAAGTGAAACAAGTGCCATAACTCTAGACGTAATAAACGGAAATTGCTGAAATTCAATAGGGTTCTTCGTTTCACTAATCTAAATAATGCATATAAATTTCAGAAAGATCAGATGATAACTTTTGACGTTGGAGCGTTCACAAGTTCAATAAAGTGAAACAACGGCCATAACTCTAGATGTAATAAATGGAAATTGCTGAAATTCAATAGGCTTCTTTGTTTCACTAATTTAAATCAAGCATATAAATTTCACAAAGATTGGGTGATAACTTTTGGAGTTCACAAGGTTCAATAAAGTGAAACAAGGGCCATATCTCTAGATGTAATAAACCGAAATTGCTGAAATTCAATAGGTTTCTTCGTTTCACTAATTTAAATAAGGCATATAAATTTCAGAAAGGTCGGATGATAACTTTTGGCGTTAGAGCATTCACAAGGTTCAATAAAGTGAAACAAGGACCATAACTCGAGACGTAACTTAAATATTGCATATAAATTTCACAAAGATTGGATGTTAACTTTTGGCATTAGAGCGTTCTCAATGTTCAACAAAGTGAAACAAGGGCCATAACTTTAGACGTAATAAACGTAAATTACTGAAATTAAATGGACACAGCTCACCAAATATTTCTACGCCATCACCTACGAATGTAGGGCGAAAGTTATTTTTAATCTTTCTCTCCCTTTCCCTTTTTCCCCCTTTTGCATGGTGATTTTTGTTGACTTTTTGGTGTAGAATCGAAGAAAAGGGTTTGAAAATACATTTTCTACCAGGTTTTGGTGAATATTCATGATTTTGAGGCGGAAGGATGCAAGAGTTGAGAGGTTGGTTAGGTTGAAATGTAGGGTCCAAAATTGCATGTTTTCTTGTCTCTACTTCCAGCTTGTGTATCTCAAGTTTTTCATGGTGAACCTCATATGTACTTTTGGGCAAGAGGTTGCCACATGTTGCTCCATCTGTGGTAGAAAGCGTTCTACCCAACGAAAATTTGGGAAAAAGTTAGAGCCGGTCTAAGAGACGAGAATTAACATTAAAGTCAATGGGCAAATGTTTAGTGATCTGTGGCCTGTCTATGTGTGACAGGCTGAGACTGATATGCCTTAGTTTTGAAAATATGAAGATTAAACTCTCAGAAAATATGAATTAAATATTTTGACTACTGAAAAACTAAAAAAAGTTAAATTTAGAAGAAAAAAAAATCAAAATTTGGAGAAAAATTGTGAGTTTACTGCAAATTTCTCAATTTTCAGTTTTTATTTAATTTCTAATAGTAAGAAAAATATTTTAATGCCCAATTTTGGCTTATTCAACCTCAGAAAGCACAGATACAGTGAACAGTATTGTAGTTTCACCAAATTTTGTCTAAAAATCAGGAATATTCACAGAAAATCTTTAGATTCCCCCCATTTCAATGTAGAAATTAATCCTTTCATGACTACTCAAATGAGTCAAAATGTCTAAAATGCCCTGATTTTCATTGCTAATATAACTTAGATGGGATCTACAAGTTTATCAGGTTTAGAAATAGCCCCAGCTTTCCTATAGAAAATTGAAAATTGGTAAAACTGAGTTAATAATGTACAGCAGATGGGTTTGTACAAAATGTTCAAAACAGGGGTTGGCTCAATTTAGCTACTGTTTTACCCAGAATAAGCATTTTTGTCTTCTTTGTAACATTAAATTCTTGCATTTCCTTCACGTAGAAAGCAATATTCTAGTCTTTCTAGCCATTTTTAACTCCGCCATTTCCTTAGGAGAGGCTATAAATGCCCCACCCCACCCTTTTTTATTAATGTGTTTTGAGAGATTTAATTGCACCTGTGTTGACAATTAAATGATAGTAATTGGAATTTGTGGTTGAATTACAGCTAGGAATGTTGTTTTTCACTAATAAATAGCTATTTTGTACATTTCAAAGACTTCTAAGCCTTTTTGTTTAAAGTCAAACTTAGAACCCAGAGACATGTCAGGCCAATGAGACCAAACCCTGTAGATGTGTAAATGTCAGCTTAATGTTCAATATTTTCTTATCAAAGTCTAGGATTGTTGCATTTATGTTACTTATAGAACAGTTAAATGTTAATATTGCTCCTTTTCAGGCCTCCTTCATCTTGTCAACTCTGTCATAATCACTTTTTGGACTTCATTTTTTCAGGCAATTGATGTAAAGGTCCAGACATCTTGCTTCAGTACAAGAATTGCAATAAAGATTTGTATGGTGCCTCTGAGCCTTGAGATGTTGAAAACATTGAAATTTTCCCAAATTTGTGAAAATTGTGTATTCTGTGACCCTTTTGTTAGAGAGGGGTGGTTATAGACCAAATATGGCATTTTTTTCTTTCATCAAGGCCTATTTTTAACCATAATTCATATTTATTGCACATATTTTAGTTTATATGTACATATGTTAGCCAGGGATGGTAAAACATAGCTATTAGACAGATTGCTTTGATGATGTTACTTCTGCAACCAAAGATTAGATTCATTCAGTCAGTGACATATTTAGGGGGTGGGGATACATGTTTAAGTATAGATCTCTAATATTACAATCAATGCAGCTGATTTGTGATTTTTCTGTTTGTACATTGGCATGTATACTTAAAGGGCCATCATTTTTGCAGTTATTCTTTGATTTTGATTTCCTTTCACCGGTATGTTACCAGAACTTATGGGAAGCATATAAAAAAGACTTTTTGGTGATACCTGAAGTTTCACCCCTATATAGGACACAGCTCACCAAATATTTCTACGCCGTCACCCACGAATGTAGGGCGAAAGTTATTTTTAGTCTTTCTCTACCTTTCCCTTTTTCCACCTTTTGCATGGCGATTTTTGTTGACTTTTTTGGTGTAGAATCGAAGAAAAGGGTTTGAAAATACATTTTATACCAGGTTTTGGTGAATATTCATGATTTTGAGGCGGAAGGATACAAGAGTTGAGAGGTTGGTTAGGTTGAAATGTAGGGTCCAAAATTGCATGTTTTCTTGTCTCTACTTCCAGCTTGTGTATCTCAAGTTTTTCATGGTGAACCTCATACGTGCTTTTGGGCAAGAGGTTACCACATGTTGCTCCATCTGTGGTAGAAAGCGTTCTACCCAACGAAAATTTGGGAAAAAGTTAGAGCCGGTCTAAGAGACGAGAATTAACATTAAAGTCAATAAGCAAATGTTTAGTGATCTGTGGCCAAATACGCTTCTTCATCTCACTAATGTACACAACATATATCAATTTTAAAACAATTGGATGATAACTTTTGGCGTTCACAAGAAATTGTGGACGACGGACGGACCGACGGCAATGTATGTCCACATTTCAATGTGGGCATATAAAAATGGTCAAAAAATCATCCTGACAAATACTTGCATTGTTACATACCGGTAATGCATATTTAATCTATTTATATTTTCAATAGAATATATAGAGGTTTGTTTAACCCAAATGTAATCCACAGTTACACTGACAAAACCATCTGCAAATGAAGTATATATAATCTGAAACTAGCACCATTAATATTTAATCTATTTATATTTTCAATAGAATATATAGAGCCCGGAGGTTTGTTTAACCTAAATGTAATCCACAGTTACACTGACAAAACCATCTGCAAATGAAGTATATATAATCTGAAACTAGCACCATTAATATCTCTTTTCATCCAAAGCCCCCAACTGATCACCACATAAGTAAACTACATAAATTTCATTTACTTCTGCCTCATTGCAAATAACAATGATTGGTATTATTTACATACTGATAATTTATTTTAATAGAAATGAACAAAAACAAAAAGCTTAATATACTAATTACCTAGACCACAACTTTTGCTACAGAAACTCCAATCGGACCAATCAGAAAGAAGACAGTCAATGTCACATGGTATCTCACACGATGACACAAGTGGTTCACTTATCATTCCAAATATCTGAAGAATAAAATAAACATAAACTGTTTTGGATGCCAACCCAACAAATGCCAAATAACATACCTACTAATTATCCAGAGGGATCAACAAAAGAGTAAGCAAAATAACCTACGATAAACAAATTGCATATTGACAAAGGTCAACAGCCCCCACCCCAACGTATTCCAACAGAAGATACTGATAAACCAACACTTCACTTATCATTAAACTAATGATTACATAACAGTAAAGTCAACAACTTCTTGTTGGTTACTTGTTAAAAAAATCTTCAATATTTAATATCACACATTTTTTTGAATAACCAAAGGCATTTAACCAATCGGCTTTCTGGGCCAAATGTCAACTTTCATTGTATCTGAATATTAGTTTTGACTGTGAAATAATGAGATGATCTTAACATACGGCACTAACTAATGAAGAAAAAAAGACCAGTAAATGTTTCCATGAGAAACAAACCTTTTCACAATAATAATTGGATACAGTTTTCGACTCTCCATTACGACATATAGGGTAACGTTCTTTATGTCCTACACCACATGTTTCATAACCACCATTAACAAGACATGTAGACCAGTTAGATATCTCCCAACTATATTCAATACAGTTATCTCCCTTCCGACACAGCCTTTCTTCTATCAATTTACCACACTGACTTTCACTAGAATAGTGTTGAGAAGATGAACGCATACGTTTTCTAGTCCGCTTCTGTGTCTGTTGACCATTACAAGGCTGGAAACAAAACATCATTTAGATTAACATAAAAGAGGAAAACTTCAAAGAATTGTTGATCAATCCTTTTTTTAATAGGAGCCGCAGTGGCATAGTGAGAAAAATGTTGGCTCGCTACCTGGATCAATCACGGTGTCAAGATTTTCCAGCGTGGTTCCCCCTTGTCAGTGGTGCAGGTCAGAGGGCCTGGCAAGGCACAACGTATGGTCATTCGGATGGGATGAAAAACATATAATAGTAGGCCATAGCAGCGTTGTCCAGGTAAAGTTTCCCTCATAGCACACTGTATGGCATATGCCCGTCTTCATTAGCCCAATCGGGGCAGAACAGTGGGACGTTAAACCCCATTTCATTTCATTTCACTTTTTTTTAAATATAATTTGTATAACGGCATGCTATAAAGATTAGACAAAGTTTTGAAATTAACCAACAAATTATAGTAGTATGGTATGTAAATCAACACATAAAATCCAACGTAATCATCAATTTCATTTTTGACTTTAAGAAGTTCTAGTTATATTAAAAGAGTAAATTTGATCCGCTCTATTTTCTATTGAGTGAAAAAAATGAAATTTTTAAACTATAAGTTGAAATTTAAGGTGTAGTCCCTATTTGCTATCACAAATAAATTTAAATAGACATACATTGTTTGTCATTGAAGGTGATAAGTATATGAATTGACATAAGGGACTACAGCCACATAAAATTCTACAATCTATAATTTACCTGTTTACAGAGTGACCAAGATGTCCATTCACTCAGAACGCATTCCCCAGGACATGATAAATAACAACTGCGTGTTTCTAATGGTCGATCTTTACCACGACAATATATATCATCCACATAGCCTAATACTTTTGTAGTTTCACTGATTGACTGACATCTGTAAAGACATTAACCAGCGGCTGCCAGGCAGGATACGCCCACGTTTTGCAAGAGATGGATAGAGAACAAGCTAAAAACAAACGCGATTTTTTGTACAATCAGGGGCAATAATCCAGAAAGTTATGGCCTGAAATGTGCAAATATCAAAAGGGACTGAGATCTTTGGGATATAAAGATATGTTTTAAGTTTCATCAAAATTGGATAAAAATTGTGACCTCTAGAGGGTCCACAACCTTTGTAATACACACTTCTACACAATTTGCGTACAAAGAGCGGCCATTTTGTCGGGCAGTTTTATTTTGATTTTCCCGAAATTCGAATTCAAACTTCATCATGGTGCAATGGTGATATATTTAAACGGCTTTTAAAATCAGAAAAAAATTGTGACCTCTAGAGAATCCCCAAGCTAAAAATGCAATTTTTCGAACAATCAGGGGCCATAATCCAGGAAGTTAAGTACAGGTATCCGCGATTATCAAAAGGAACCAAGATCTAAAGTGTGTAATGGTGATATATTCAAACGGTTTTTTAAACTGGATAAAAATTGTGACCTTTATAAGGTCCACAAGCTAAAAACGCGATTTTTCGTACAATCAGGGGCCATAATTCAGAAAGTTATGGTCCGATATTCGCGAATATAGACAGGAACCGAGATCTGTGGGTTATAAACATACATTTCAAGTTTAAACCAAATTGGATAAAAATTGTGTTCACAAGCTAAAAACGTGATTTTTCGTACAATCCATGAAGAATCCATGAAGTTACAGTCCGATACATGCCAATATCGAAAGGAGTGATAAACCTATATTTCAAGTTTCATTGAAATCGGATAAAAATTGTGACCTGTAGAGTGTTCACAAACAATTGCGGACAGACGGATAGACAGGGGCGACGACAATATACATCCACATGAAAATGTGGGCGTATAAAAAGCATAACATGTGTGTGACATTCAAGTTTTGGGAGTAAGGGGCAATCATTTATTCATTTGCTGTATAAAACTGAAGGGAGACTATTGTTTAGCAGGACAATCCTAGCAAATTTAATGATGTCCCCAACTCTAATCCCAAAATAAATGGGTAACACTCATTAATAACTTGCATACAGTATTTATCTTTTTATAAAACATTGAGCAATCAAATAACTTATCACGACAATTGAAAGCCAAGCTATTGTGTTACTAAAGGTGTGATGGACGAAGAGCTGCTTAGCCTAATCAAAAACTGCCCATCATCGAACTTGTTACAGACTGCGATCGAACAGCAATTGAGTGATTCTAGTTAAAAATTAAAGCAGTATTTAATAAACAATAATAGTCTTATAAATTCTACACAGAAGGTGTTTATTGATATTGTAGCCCAATATTTTAAAACTTTTTTGATTTGGCATTGGCTATGATTGTCAAAGATATAGAATACCTAAGTCTGCAACAGATATTTTCTATAGTTTGAAAGGAGTAATTAATATGATTATAACTGATATATATTATTTACTATGTATTTCTAGGTCAGTGCATGTGGGATCATTCTTATATTCATTGCACAAAATGTAAATAATACCACCAAGCAGATGTTGAAAACCGGACTTTATTTAAAGGAAAATTCATTATAATATCAGACCACACCTATTTGATTTCATTGTCGATAAATGGCCTATGAGCCAAGACCAATAATCATAAAGGTGCTCCCGGAAAACTTGAATTCAAATATGTTTATTTACCTAACTGGACGAATTTGCCTGCCTGTACCACAACCAGCACCAGCTTGAGGTATACAAGAATCCCATTCACCTTCATCCCATAGATAATGATTACAATCCACTCTACAAACACGACTTTGGGTTTCCTATAAAAACAGATTTTCAGTCTTTAGTAATGTAATAAAGAAGCTTACAAATCAAATGAACTTCTCGTCAGAAAATCATTCGTTTCAACCAAAATTACTTAATAAAATTGATACAAAACACAGCAAATGAGAATATTAATTAAAGATACCTTATGGGAGATTAGATAAAGAGAGAGAGAGAGAGAAATGGGGATTAATGTCCACTCGACACAAACTAGGTCATTTCGGGACTAACATATGGTTTAATTTTATTTGCATAATTCGCTTGCGCGTAGGGGTCTTTAGCACTGGGAGGAAACCGGAGGACCCGGAGAAAACCCACGAGGTTGGACAGGCGACCCTACTCCTTGCCACGTACAACCAGGGATTCGAAACCAGATTATATAAAGAGCTGGCAGTTCTCACTGTAACAGTTAAAAACTAGATAATGTAAAGGGAATTTCCTGAAAATTTCAGTCAAATTGATCCACTCTGAACCAAGAATTTTGCGATTGAATTTTTGGCCTAGCCTCGATCATCATTACTAAAGTCGGTACGATAAAAAACATAGTCTTGATTATCCATATGATGATTAGCAGCAAATCGGATCCTAATCCAGTAAATATCACAGGCTAGCGATGGCATCGAGAGTTGATTATAGTCTGGATAAGTTAATTAATGTCTAATTGATAATTTATGTAACATTTCAGGCCTAAAGAAAAACCTGAAATAGGCAGATTTAGCTCTTGCATAATGTATGTTTAACCCTATCAACTCATCCCTTCTTAAAATCGATCACCGGCGATCGATAAATTCATCACGTCATATGTAGCACCATGGGTCGTTTGTCAGACGTGGAGAGCGGTCGACTCTACACCCGGTCGCCACATCCGGCGTATAACCCATGCATCGTTTCTTACTACACATTCCGGAACAGCATGATTGTCTAGTATTGTCTTTGGCCGCGTTTGTTTCTTATTTTCTTCTTAGGACTCCACTTTAAATATTATGTATTTATTCTGCCACTCATTCAGTTTATGGTTACACACAATAACAACAATACCACATTTTGCTTCTATATTTTATATTAAGCTCTGCTACATATAGGTTACAAAGTTACAAGCATAATATAGTCATTCTCTCTAACCCGCTATCATGCAGACTCGGCGAGTCTGCTGATGGAAATTATTACATCTTCTCCCTACGAGAACTACATGACTGTCTACCCTAGAGCGCACATTCTATTAATTATATATTCTTAGATGCACACCCATTAATTATGCTATTGGCTAATTATGATGTAATTAATCATGTGATTGGTCACTCCATGCTAAATATGAAATGATAACTTTCCTATCACATGCTTTTAGAATTTATCCTTGTTTCTTATTTTCTTCTTAGGACTCCACTTTAAATATTGTGTATTTATTCTGCCACTTATTCAGTTTATGGTTACACACAATAACAACAATATCACATTTTGCTTCTATATTTTATATTAAGCTCTGCTACATATAGGTTACAAAGTTACAAGCATAATATAGTCATTCTCTCTAACCCGCTATCATGCAGACTCGGCGAGTCTACTGATGGAAATTCCTACATCTTCTCCCTACGAGAACTACATGACTGTCTACCCTAGAGCGAACATTCTATTAATTATATATTGTTAGATTCACACCCATTAATTATGCTATTGGCTAATTATGATGCAATTAATAATGTGATTGGTCACTCCATGCAAAATATGAAATGATAACTTTCCTATCACATGCTTTTAGAATTTATCCTTGAAAAATGCAAATGACCAACATAGGCCTGCAGCCAAAATTTCTAGCTTGCTTAGAAACACAGTGCAGCTACATATGGTTCTCCCTAATAAACAAACTATACATTTTTGGAAAGCTTATTATACCATGAACACAAATCCAGAGAGTTTCAAGCAAGAAGTCTGCACTAACTCGATTTAGGGCCAGATGAAAATTGTGATAATTTTCAAATAAATGCTATATTTATACTAATAATTGTGAAGTTGACATAAAATTAAATATTGGCGAAAACACCCGATGATGCCTTTATCCTAGGCAAAGAATATGCTACTGGTTAAATTTTGATTTAAACCAAAATGCAGAAAACATAATGGACAAGGGAACATATAGAATTTTGGAAATCCATTAACGGTAATAGAGAGTTATCTCCCTTTCTGTCAAATGTCTGCAATTGGTAACAGCATTTCAGTTGCGTGTTGACCGCTGATGCTGTATGACGCACAAGACCATGTGTGAGCACACAAGCCCAATATTTATATCGGTAATGGGGTCACAGGGGACTGCAAGGGTTGGTGAGCGGGTGTTTACCCAGAAATTATGGGCGGAGCGTCTAGTCTGATGTGCAAGGAGATATGTTTGACATTGGTTGAGCAATATGTCTATGGAGCAATATGTCTATGAAGTAATGAAGACCAGACTATGTCCGTAGTTTTGTAAATCGCATTGAAATCATGGAATATTTTATACTAAAACATAAACCCACACCAACATACCCTTTCAATTAGACCCTATGTTATTTTTACTACAGGTAGCTGTAAACCTCTAGTTCAGATATTTAAGGCTGAATTACAAACATTTAAACTGAAACCGTATCTATAATTGTGTAATTTGCTAACAAATATAGATTTAAAACAAAAATTATTTACTGAATTAAATCAATTATTGAAAATCAAAATTACGCAGTTAACCTGTACTTTAAATGTCTTTAAAGTTAGTCTTATCATCATCACTGTCACTACATGTATAAACATCAAGTTCGGTTTCTTTAACAGTCTTTTTGTTTCATTTTCAAATTTACTACACTTACACATATTAGATATGTACATGTACAAGACAACCCCGGTGCGGTATCCTTTTGTCAGTGGTACAGGATGGGAGTGGGCTGGAAGGACAATGCCCAGTCGTTCGGAATGGGAGGCAAAACAATATTTTAAACAATATTTGATTCAACAAACTAAATCGGATTGAACAACATATAAGGGGCTACATGGGTGTAGGGGGCTAATCTCAGTTGGGGGTGGGGGGCTGAACCTATTTGCCTGAAAAATTTGTCACCCAAATTTTCTGAATGACTCAATCATTAACTAAAATGAATTTTCCACAAAGCTGTGAGGGTTGTTTATTTTAAATTAATTACACAAATATACAATTATATTTCCATGAGATATGGTCGCATTCTCCATTCTCTGAAGCTTGTGCCCGAAAAACTGAAATACATTGCCCCGAAAAATGGACGGTTCAACAAATCTCGGAGAGTGTGTGGGCATATAAGCACTCCCAAAACAGTATTTCTACTAATATATATATGTAAACTTTTAGTTCAGATTAGATTTGGGGCTAAATTCCTAACAAATATTTGAATTGAAACAAAGCATCTATATGTAATTTTCTCACAAAAATAGATATATGTCAAAACCTAAATAATACTGTAAGGGAGTGGCAATTGTAATGAAGAGAAAATAAAATCAACCATCATAATGAAGATGTACATACGCCCGCCATACAAAACGGACTACTCTTTATTTCGAATTTAAAGTTCTTTACATTCCATCCGAATAACTGGACGCTGCCCATCACAGCCCCCCCCCCCTGCTTCCTGCACCACTGACAAGGGAAAACAATGCTGGAAAGTTTGGGGAACTGTTTAGGTCAACACAGGGATAAAACCCCGGACCTCCTGATTAGTGAGCCACAGACAAGGGGAAACAACGCCGAGCTAGTAGGATCAAACCCTGGACCGCCCAGTAAGTGAGCCAGCCCTTTACTGAGTCACCGCGGCTCCCTTCCCCCCCCCCCTCAAACAATAATGTATGACGTACACCCATCTTCATTATACGGGTTGGTACAGAACAGTATGACATTAAACTCCATTTGATATTTTTTCTCTTCATTACAATATTGCCACTCCCATTACAGTATTATTTAGTTTTGGCCATATCTATTTTAGTGAGAAAACTAAATATCTGTAGATGCTATGTTTCAGGTTAAATATTTGTTAGAACTTTAGCCTCAAATCCTATCTGAACAAAGGTTGACCTTATATAGGCCCTTGTCTGTAGTTAAATCCTGTTTCCCATAAAGTTAAGGGAAATAACTCATTTGACCATAAATGGATTTCCAAAATTCTGTATGTTTCCTTGTCCATTATGTTTTTAGTTTGGAGGCTCAGCGCAGGGGGTGTCCATCAAATGGGCACAAAACCAGACCCAACTTTTCTAGAGTAAAATTTTGCGTAGAATACGATGCCGAGTGGTAATCAGTCCACATAGATGTTTCAAAGCACAAATTCTTCCCTCCATATTACTACACATATCCGAAAATTCCCTTTGAAATGAGACTAAGAACGGGTGGCTATTCAACATAGAAGTTGTGTTATACGAGTCTAGATTCTAGCAGAAGTCCTATTATTTCGTGTACTTATAGCCGTAAAAATTTAGTTTATTGTGTCTAAAAGAGAAAGTATTAAACCGAAAATTAAGAATAGAAGTGTTGTTAAGTTTTACATTGATTAGACACGTCTGATCTTGAATATACGTGCAATGCCGAAACAAACGTAAGCTTGATGATGATAATTATTTAATTGTAGATTGTATGCCCATTTCTAGCAGGAAATATCCATTTAGCATCGAATTATTGGTAAATTAGCCCCAAATATGTAGGCCTAAAATGTAATGGCATTTTGACAGCTAGTCGGCCAAGTCATACGTGCGTATGGCTGGACTTGATGAAGAGTTTTTTTCTATTTCAATTAGACAATTGACATGAAATGTAGATTAACCCATGTTTAGTATTAAATTTCAAAAAGGTTTGGCCACTAATTTTTGTCAGTTTGCATTTGTTTTCTTTAGTTCCACTGAGGGGTTGGACTGTGTAGGGACTAGGCTTAAGCTAAACTAATAACTCAATAATTAAGACTCTTTGTCTTGTCAACACATTTTAATGAAATGACCTTTCCATTACAAAAACAAAGTCAAGCTTCACACAGAACTTTTCCAAAGGAAACCATTCCAAATAATAAAGATAACTCTTGACATGTCCTAACACAATCAGACCACTAATGAATTGTCCTAACACACAAAACTAGATGTTATCAATCTCCACTCTGTCTCTTTAAATAAAAGTTTTTAATTAAAGTAAGGTAAATAAAAATAGTAAGTTTAACACTATGAAATAAATAGTTCAACACATTCTACTTGGAACGCTAGTTGAATTACTGCATGAGTTTAAAATAGAAAGTTTACACTGTGCATCACTATTAAATTTTGAGTTTCAAAACATCGTCTTGTAATGTTTTCATGAGTATAAGAGCTGATGATCCAAGTTTAGTTAGACAATCAGTATTACTGAAAGGGTGTGCCCTGTTAATGCGCAGAAATCATCGCGCTCAGTTTTTTTAATTTTTATTTCGTTTTCGGATCATTTCAATTTAAAGGCAAAAAAAGGTGATAAAATGAGCTATTCACAACCCATTCAGGCTTTTCATCTTTTAAAATATTTCTTCACAACTTTCATAAACTAGTAGCAATAATCCATACGAAGAGAATGTATGTGAAAATTAGTTTGTAACATGAGCAGTTGCCGAGAAATGGGCAATTTTGCATGAGTCACTTTTTTACGCTAGTTTGCCTTTAAAAGAGTCAATTATTATTCGATTTTCATAAAAGTGACACCATTTGATGCGTAATGTCAATTTTTACTAGGTCAAACCAATTTAACATTTTCAATGTCACCGGAAATGACGTAATTTGGGCAAAAACTGTATTTATAGCCTTCAAAACCAGTAATTTATTCAAATGAGTCGTATTTGTTATTTGTTTAAAATTTTGATATTTGATTCCAGTCAACTAATAGAATGAACCCATACGATCATACAGATACCAGAAAATGGTTTCTAACTTGTTCAGTTGAGGAGAAATAGACGATTTTCAACAGGTAACTTTTCAAGGTTTTTGGTCCATAAAAGTGTCAATTCTTATTCGATTTTCATAAAATTTCCAGTGTGTGATACCTAATGCCATTTATGATTTCATACAAGTAATTTAAAACTTTTACTGTCACCGGCAAAAACTGTATTTTTAGTCTTCAAAACAGATATTTTATTCAAATGAGTCTGATTTGTATCGTTTTTAAAATTATGATATTTGATTCCAATCAACAAATAGGTTGAACCCACACGATCATACAGATACCAAAAATTGGTTTCTAACTTGTTTGGTTGCAGAGAAATAGACGATTTTCTAAAGTTACTGCTCAAGGTTTTTGGTCTATAAAAGTGGCAATTATTATTCGATTTACATAAAAATTTCACCATGTGATGCCTTATGCTATTTCTGATTTCATAAAACTAATTTAACATTTTCATTATCACCGGAAGTAATGTAATTTTGTCAGGATCACTTACATGTAACAAATGTATACAATGAATTGATATTGCTGGATTTGGATGATTCTGTGTACATTTTATTTGATGTGTGCAATGCTTATATGGAAACCTGTTTAATGGTTTCATCGGTACCGGAAGTGACATATGTTCAACGGTAAGGGGGCACCGGTGAACCTGTCATTACTGCGTCGCACTTCTAGTTTTATTTTATTGTTTTTAGGCCTTCAACCTCAGCTGAAGATACTACACATGGACATGGTAATGATAGTTTTAGGCTTAATGGTACCGATACAAGCATTGATTTGGGTGAGTGAGTTTTGTTTGTTATGCATAATGTATATGTTTTTACATTTGAAACAAGTATAAACCCAACTGTCTAAATGTTCTACAGCTTTAGATTGTATGCCTATATCTACTAGCATGAAATATTGATTTATGATCTTCCTCTTTCCAATTATTTTACCAAAGGTTACTCATTGTAGAAGTCTTTTGTTATTTTTTTTATTGTACTGAATGCCTTACATTTATTTATTTATATTTGAAGGTCCATATCTGAAGATGGAAATAGTGGTAGGCCTAATATTGTTGAGGAAATTTTGGTACAACGGAATAACAAAAGTACTTGTACCACCAGGTCAAAGCGTCAATCAACACTGAAGCATTCCTATGCAGAAGATTCTGCTGAAGAAAACTCACCATTAAAGAGAACACAGTCATCTGCATCCCAGCCTTGTCTTGGTCAGAAGATTAGTCATAACATTAGTACAGAAGAATGGAAGCATGAACAGTGTATAGACACAGAGCCCAGTATACCAAAGTTTACTCCGAGACCGGGAACTGGAGTTTTATGAGTTGACAATTGGCACAATGGAACTTGATCTGTTTGAAGGGTTAAAACTAGATAACAGCAGATTTTTTGTCATTGCTACATTTATTGTAAATAATATAATTATTGATTGTTGCATGATTTTCCTAGACCTGTGTACATGTATCTACTTGATTGTATGTATTCCTTCTGAATTTTTCTTATCAGCCTTGTGCCTACTTTCATATTTCGGTGTAAAAAAGTGCTATTGTCTTTGGGATGGTATTTACCTTATGGCAAATGCTATAGTATTTGCATCAAAGCAGCTGTGGGTAACATTTTAACAGCAATAGTATAAAAATACTAATTTTGGGGTCGTAAGTCAGTGTGTCAGGTCAAAGGTCAACCCATTGAGTCAAAGGTCAATAATAGGTCAATGGTCATTTCCATAATTACTTTTTAATTCTAGTCATATATTTGTGATATTGAATTTTGTTATCTTTAAATCCATTCATTAAATCACAATTGCTACTATGTAAATACTTCCAACTATGTGAATAATTGCTACTATGTGTCTCATAACCTTTTTGATTTTAATGCCACAATTATGAATAATACACAGATTTGTGGCAAAATAGTTGTTTTCTTTGAATCTACCAAAAAACCAGCGGCTGCCAGGCAGGATACGCCCACATTTTGCAAGAGATGGATAGAGAACATGCTAAAAACAAACATGATTTTTTGTACAATCAGAGGCAATAATCCAGAAAGTTATGGCCTGAAATGTGCTAATATCAAAAGGGACAGAGATCTTTGGGATGTAAAGATATGTTTTAAGTTTCATCAAAATCAGATAAAAATTGTGACCTCTAGAGGGTCCACAACCTTCGTATTACACACTTCTACACAATTTGCGTACAAAGTGCGGTCATTTTGTCAGGCAGTTTCATTTCGATTTTCAGGAAATATGAATTTAACCTTCATTATGGTGGAATGATGATGTATTTAAACGGTTTTTAAAATCGGAAAAAAAAATGTGACCTCTAGAGAATCTGCAAGCTAAAAATTTGATTTTTCGAACAATCAGGGGCCATAATCCAGGAAGTTAAGTTTGGGTATCCGCGATTATCAAAAGGAACCAAGATCTTAGTGTGTAATGGTGATATATTCAAACAATTTTTTTAAATCGGATAAAAATTGTGACCTCTATGGGGTCCACAAGCTAAAAACGCGATTTTTCGTACAATCAGGGGTCGTAATTCAGGAAGTTACGATTCAGTATGCGCAAATATCAAAAGGAACCGAGATCTGTGGGTTATAGACATACATTTCAAGTTTAAACCAAATCGGATAAAATTGTGACCTCTACAGTGTTCACAAGCTCAAAACGTGATTTTTCTTACAATCAGGGGCCATAATCCATGAAGTTACAGTCCAATACATGCTAATATTGAAAGGAACCAAGATCTTAGGGTGATAAACCTATATTTAAAGTTTCATTGAAATCGGATAAAAATTGTGACTTGTAGATTGTTCACAAACAATTGTGGACGGACGGACGGATTGATGGACAGGGCCGACAACAATGTGGGCCTATAAAAACTACCAGCTTATAATCCCTGTGACCTGTTTGAGGTCAAATGGAAAAGCTAAACTTATTTTTGGGGTCAAGGTCAAGGTCAGACAAAAAGGTCATGGTCAAAGTTCATGCATGTGGGGTCAACGAAATGATCCCTTATAGAAAGCCCTGCCAGTGCCCTAATCAGAAACATATAACATGTGGTTCTTCTAAGAATTATTTTTTTTACCATTTGCCCAGTAACAGATACCAGTGGTAAAATGCCAGTTTAGGGGATGAGTTTATAGGGTTAATGAAAATATTTAGACCTAACAATAAATTTGGAACAATTGCTGATACAATTACAGATAAAATTATTTAATAAAATTGATACAAAACACATTGAATCAGAATTTTTACCTTGATAGAACCGCTTAAAGATGGACATTTTCTTCCTCCACTGGCAGGTTGAGTAGCTATACTTCTAAATCGTACTTGCATGCCAGCACCACATGTAACCCCACAATGAGACCAAGCACTCCACTCTGTCATTTCACAATCAACTGGACATGGTATTACACACATATCTTCTTCATAACCTACAAATTATAGTTTAATATAAAACTCATTTTTATCTGCATTTGACCAATACCTACATCTTACCTTGGAAGATTATTGATAGATGACTTTGCCCCATGTTTCTATATTTCAACCTAAGATAGTCAAGGCTTACAGCTACTCAGATCAAGTTTAGATTAATATTAGGTGCCCCCTTCCCCTTTAAGCAAAAAATCTAATTTATAAAAAGAATACATTCATAATGTTTATAAGAAGTTGACTGGGTTGCCTTCATTAGATTACAGAAATAGGGGGACCATCTTCTCTTCAATCCTTGTATCTTTGTTACATTCATATTTACCAATAAATGTCTTACCATTTAGCGAACACTTGGATGCCATTTCTAAATCATGTTGATCATTCCTACAGGCAACGACTTTATATTTTTTACCTGTACCACAATATGCATTGACTAAACTACCACCACGATTACTAGTATTTGTATCTCTTTCTTCAACACTTTTAAATGACATTTGAGCAAATCTTGGTTTTGAACCAACAGCATCATCTAGTATACAATCTGAGTATGCTCCAATCACAACAGGATGAAGAACATTGCACAAGCATTTTTCTCTTTGATCTAATGAATACAGCTCTACATTTTTACATTCTGCCCGAAATCGGCTTTCTCCTGAAAATTTCAAATTTTAGAAGTCTTTATCTGAAAGATGCCAAGAGATAAGATTTCTAAAGATTACTAATATGCAATATTGAATTTGGTTCATAGGATTTTTTTATATCTGATTGTACATGTGTGAAAAAATACCCCTATTCAAAACCATCTAACGCACCATCTATACTAATATTTGTGACTGTTGTTAGTCTGTCTGTTTGTCTGTTCAGGACTGGCAGCCACACCAGGGGTGTCCTGAGTCTGAAATTTGGTGCATAGGGCCTTGGGGTGGCTCAGACAGGGGAATAACATAGGCTAGGTGGCATTGACCTATTGATTCCATTTTCAGGGTTATGGACACAACTTGGGCAGCACAGAGTTATCCGCTAGTAAAGACATATTTTTTACCAGATGCGATTACCCTTGAACTTATGTCACTTCTGGTGCGACATTACCCTTGAACTTATTTCACCTCCGGTACCAATGAAACTGTTAAACAGATTTCCACATAAGCATTGCACACGTGTTATAAAATGGATGCAGAATCAAATCCAGCAATGTCAAAAAGTGATCCTGATAAAATTGGTTACAAACTTACCGCCAAGTTAGCTAACTTCTAATGGAAAATTAAAATGCGAAAAAATCTTTAAAAGTGATCCTTACAAAATTGGTTATTTCTCGACAAGGGAAGATGCTAGAAGCAATTTTGGACATTTATATGATCGTATTGATCCAATCTATATGTCCATTGGAATCAAATATCATAATTTCAAACGAATAATAAATATAACTCACTTCAAAAAAATATTTGTTTTGAAGGCTAAAAATACATTTTTTTCCAAAATTACATTGAATCTCGTAATAATGAAAATGTTACATTAGTTCTATTAAATCATAAATATAAATGGCATAAGGCATCACAGTGAAAATTTCATAAAAATGGAATAATAATTGACACTTTTATAGACCAAAAACTCTGAAACGTGACTTGTAGAAAATAGTCTACTTCTCTGCAACCGCACATGTTATAAAACCATTTTGTGATATCTATGTGTTCGCATCGGTTTATTCTATTTGTTCATTGTAAGCAAATATCTTAACTATAAACAAATTACAAATGTGACTCATTTGAATAAAATATTTGTTTTGAAGGCTGAAAATAGAGATTTGCCGAAATGGCATTTCCGGTGATATTGAAAATGTGAAATTGGTACAGCCCAGTCAAAAGTGTCATTAGTCATCACTTGGTGAAAACAAATCTAAAATCTAACAATAATTAACTCCTTTACAGGCAAAATAACGTGAAAAGGGACTTATGAAAATTGTATATTTTTCAATTTGCTGCATTCTGACGTATTTCCGGAAGGTAAATTCCAAAATTACAGGTCTAAAAATCGCCAATAAAATCGCATTAAATGCAGGCGCGGATCCAGAGGGGGGGGGGGGGTTCCAGGGGGTCCGGACCCCCCTCCTGCTCAGGCTTGAAAATTTGAAGAGTCCGAGAAACTTAAATCTAAAAGCCTGAATCTGACCCAAAAATTGCGAGTTTGTATACATGACTTTCATTCCATTGTGGGCAAAAACAAATAGTCACATACAGCTCTGGCAATTAGCCAAAAACGTCGACAGCAATTTTTTAATACCGTACTGTATGAAAATATAAGTTTATTGAAATTTAAAGAGTTTTATTAACGCTGTTCGCCTGTTGACGTTGAATATTGTTGTGGTTTCTTTTTAATTTTATCGGCAGCGTTGATAAGAAAAAAAACCTGGTCATTTATGTGTGAAAATTCCCTGTAAACCTCTACATTTATGATTAAGCCTGTGCAACTATTGCAAGCTATATTATTTATTTTTATGCGCTGAAAGTAAAAACAGTAAACCAAGTCTATAGACTTTTCGTCTGTGAAAGTGTGTGCTCTGGAAAAGCCCGACCAACTTTCTTATACTTAAATGGACTGGTTACTCTAATAGTAAATTGATACTGCTAATAAAGCTTGTTAAGAACAACCATAATATGGTATCTGAAGATATTTTGTTCCTCACCTGTGAAGGGAGCATCCCCCATCAACATTTTAAGGACATTTAATGTGATTTTATTGGCAATTTTTAGACCTGTAATTTTGGAATTTACCTTCCGGAAATACGTCAGAATGCACCAAATTGAATCTAATTTACCCCCCTTTACAACGTTTAGCGCCTTAATTAAGCAATTATCCAACCTAGACCCCCCCCTGCAAAAAATCCTGGATCCGCTCCTGAAATGTCCTTAAAATGTTGATGGGGGATGCTCCCTTCACAGGTGAGGAACAAATTTTTTCTTGTCGGACATTTTTACCAAAAATAAAGGGACATAACTCTTATCGTTATTTAAGATGGCAGTTTTTAGACCACACACAAAAATCACGTGTAAACAAAATATTTAAATTCATCCGTAATATAAAAATAGGTGCACCTCGTTATTTTTCATATTTAATTCCCGTACGGTATTCAAATTTATGTCAGTAATATTCCTACAAAATTCGTAATACGATAGAATGAAAGCGTGCTGACTACTGCCGATCTGTACTGTTTCAAATTCCTCCAAAATTACCGTATTTTCGGGACATAAGTCGCTACATTTTTCTGCAGAAATCCGGCATTCGTCTTATACTTATGTACAGAGGGTAAGAATATGATATCCCGAAACATTTGGGCAATAAACGTCGCTATACCACAACGAGGAATGACATCATCCACTAAATAATCGCATTCTACTCTAGCATGCGCTATCGTCTAAAACAATTAAGTACTTACACTATTCCAATCAACATATTCGTCAACATTGCCTAGATTACCCCCTGGACCCCCGCTCAGGATCCGCGCCTGATATATTGCTTTCAGTAACAAATATAGTTTTCTCTGTAGTTTGTATATGGTTATGTAAATAAGTCAAAAGTCAAAGGAATATATCTTTAAATACATAAATATAAGTAAGCTACCATATTTTTATTTTTTAAAGTAAATCGTCTTTTTCAGAGATTATGGGAATAGATATCTTCAAGACATACCTATTAGTTTGCGAGTTCTATGGCTATAACCATTACATCCTCCAACACATACACTCCATATTGACCAATCGGAGAGCTGACATTCTCTGGCACATGACACATGACATGTCTCTAAAAGTTTTGGCATGGCTCCTATGTTACGTAAACATGTATCCAGTGGGTGATCTGTGCCATTGGCATGACGACAAGTCACATCTGCAAATACAACAATTAACAAAAATACTGGGATGTTGAATTTAAATAAACAGACATACTAAGTGATTTGTCTACAAATTTATTAATCAAGAAAAAAAACACACACCGACTTTTACAATTTTTTTGGGCTGTTTAACCTTTACAGCTATGGTTTATAAAAGATGTCTGACTTACTTCTTGCTCTCATTCCATCTCCGCAATATGGTACAATAGGAGGTATTATACAATCACTCCATTCTGTCTTGTCCCATCTGTATTCATCACACAATGGTAAATGTAAACATTGTCTTTCTTCGAATAAGTCATTAGGACACGGACTTCCCTTATTTTCAGGATACTGCAATATGTAGCGTACTCTACGTTGTTTAGGTAGAACTTGTCGAGCTGTTTTATAAATAGTGTATACATGGGATAATGGAAATAAAGAGAAAGAAATGTGATTCAACAATACTGGATGTTATAAAATAAGATGTAACAACATCCTCCGAAATTCCAGACTTTTCAATGTTTTTTCAATCCTTACCCACATAGAAATGAAATGAAATAGGGTTTAATGTCCTACTTTTCTGCACTGACTGAACTAATAAAGATGGACATATGCCATGCAGTGTTCTATGAGGGAAATTTTGCCCCGACAGCTGTGCTACGGCCTTCTCTTATTTTCGAATTTCAATTGTTAAGGGTCCTTTTACACCAATGTGCACAGGACCTCAGTTTTTTTAACAACTAGACACTGTTCCTTGTCATGCTGTCCTGAATGAATACGGTACAATAAAATCTTATCTTATCTTATCCTACATTCACAAAACAGAACTCAGTCATTTCAAGATAACATATAGTAAAACCTTTATTCAATTAAACAGAATGAAACCAGAGAAAATCCCTTGAAAACCCATGAGGATAGAAAGGCAATCCTACTATTGTCCCGAACAAAGGATCATTAACAGACAAACTATGTTCACAATAATATCTATTTTCTTACCAGTGACATCGAGACAAGTAACACCACAATCTGACCAATGAGCCCACTCTGATACAGTACAATCTATAGGGCAATCAATAGTACATGTCTGAGAATCTTTTGGTCGAACGATTTCCTCACATCTAAAAATAATAATATCATTATTCAAATAAAACAAAGTGAAGATATACACTACAGACGTATATATAATTAGAAGGACTGTAAAATGTTTCTTTCAAATTATCAATGAAAAATGATTGAGAAAAACCTAATTACTGCTTGAAAACATCTTACATCTGCTTGAAAAATCTTGTTTCGAACATGATGTACCCCTCGACCCACTTTATAAACCTATGTGTATATATAAATTCCATTACTGGTTGATACATGTATGAAATAATAATAATTTTTTTATTTCTGTAAAGATCAATGTCAATCAGTAGTCAGATGTAAAATACAATTTGTTTCTAGAATCAATATTCTACATTTCTTTTCATATCAAAATAATGCTCCAACAGAAATATTTCTATTACCTTCTGTTGATGACTGGTTGACCATCTTGATTAAAACAAGTCACTTCTCGTTGTTGAAAACCTCGCCCACATTTTTGATTTGGGTTATCTAGTACACATGGCCCCCATCCACTAGATTTCCAGTAATATATAGCACACTGAACTCTGATAGGGCATGGTTCATTCTGACGCATTTCCTTTGGACATGGTTGACCACCTAAAATAATTTAATAGCAGTAATTCAAATCTCAATCTTCAAGGGATATCTTATCATGTTAAATCTACAGCCAGGGCAACCGATTTTGTCAACATTCTATACTACATAAAGCAGAGATGGGATTTCGCCCGTATATTCTGGACATGTCCGACGCTATTTTCCAAACGTCCTAAATTGTCCGACCAGGAATTTGCCCAATCGGACATCAAGATATGGTGAATAATATTCAAAATTCCAAAATTAATATAGTGTACTGAGTGTATAACTACCACTCAACCCGATTATCGTTGATAATAGGCTGGATTGAATAGATAATTAAGTGATCAACATATTTATCAGGTTGTACCGTCTATACACCTACCTTGATTAACTACTTAATCTGCTTTGATTGACTGACTTAATCCTTTGTCGAACAATTCATCACTCTAATCTTAAACAGAAGTCATTGCTTCCCCTTTGTCAGATTATTCATCAATCCAATAAGAGTGATTATCATTTTAATCTACGTGTTTACCACATGGTTTCTCCATTGTCGGACATTTTAATCCCATTGATGTGAGCCGACAATATGTATAAACTAATCATACATGTCACATATTGTAAGAGTATATAACACCCCAAATCAATATATTATCCGTTAACTTGTAAATCAATATATCCGTTAATTTGTCTGCGATATCACTTCGGTGGAAGCGGACGTTAAATAAAGTTATTTCACACACACACACACACACACACACGTGGTTATAATACAATAATCGAAACTAAAGTAGAAATCTCGTGAGACACATGAACATGAAATTACAAGAGATGTAAACATGACAATTATCAAGTTAACTTATAAATCAATATATCCGTTAATTTGTCTGCAATATCACTTCGGTGGAAGCGGACGTTAAAAAAAGCTATTTTACACAAACACCCACAAGTGGTTATAATACAATAATCGAAAACTAAAGTAGAAATCTTGCGAGATGCGTGAGACTACAAGAGATGTAAACGTGACAATAATCACATCAGAGGAAAGATTCTATTTTGATGGCATATTCTCGGGTTTATGATAATATTTTGAATGGGGTTTATGTTTAAAAAACAAAAAGAAATAAAAGTTGAGAAATTACCTCCCAATTACCTCCCTAGTTTTCTATTCTCCACCATGGAGTAGTTATCTTCAAATGTTTGAATTTGAAGTTAAAAATGATATTTTTGCCAATTTCTCAACTGGCAATAGTGAATTATAGGATTAATAGGATTATTCTTTAACAAGGTAGGACTGTTATAGATACCATCTATTTTAAGGCTTTATTTTAATAAATTTTAAAAATATAACTTAAAAATATGAAATTTCAACTTTAAGAGATGGTCTAAAACTAATAAATGTGAGATATATGCCGTGGATAATTATATATTTATCTTCATTTCGAAGTTATTGTATTACAACTAAAAATTATCCATGTCAGTGTGTTTTCTTTAGAGCACGAGGTTGAGAAATGTCGACAAATATTTCGATTGGAATAGTGTACATGTAAGTAGTTAATACACGATAGCGAGTGCAGGTGCTATCATTTAGCAGATCATGTCACTGGCGCAGTATCGTCTAGCAACGGTCATTGCCAAAAAATTTTTGGAACGTCTTTTTTTTTTTTTAACCTCCATCCATATAGAAGTTAAAATGTAGTATAAGACGAATGCCAGGTTTCTGCTGAAAAAAGTATCGACTTATACCCCGAAAAATACGGTAATTTTGGAGGTGATTTTGAACAAAAGTATGGGTCGACAGTAGATAATGTTTCAAAAAAAAAAAAGAAATAAAAGCTGAGAAATGTCAACAAATATTTCAATTGGAATAGTGTACATGTAAGTAGTAAATTGTTTTACACGATAGCGTGTGCGAGTGCTATTATTTAGCAGATGATGTCACTGGCTCGGTATCATCTAGCGACAGTCACTACCAAATATTTCGGGATGTCTTTTTTTTTTTACCTCCATCCGTATAGAAGTCAAAACATAGTATAAGACGAATGCCGGACTTCTGCTGAAAAAAAGTATCGACTTATACCCCGAAAAGTACGGTAGTTTATGAGGTGATTTTGAACAGTAGTCGGCACGCTTTTATTTTATCATATTACGACAATACGTAATTTTGTAGGAAAATTACTGACATAAATTTGAATACCATACGGAATTAAATATGTAAATTAACGGAGGCACAACTATATTTTCAATATGTACAAATTGAATAGTTTGTTGACACATGATTTTTAATTGTGGTCTGAAACTGCCTGCTTAAATAACGAGTTATGCGCCTTTATTTTCGGTAAAATGTCCGACAAGAAAAATTTTGAAATCCCATCACTGACATAAAGACAGCTACAATTATCTATTAACAAACATTGCATGTCCACTACTGGCCTTGGAAAATCCCTGGATGAAAACGATTAGGGGTTACCCACCGCACAAACTGTCTGGCAGTGGTCATTCATGATTCCTCTCGTGGTACTGAACAACTCCAAAGCTGTTTTAGGTGGTACAGATTTGAGCTAATCTAGCCTAGCTTTGGTCTAAATATTAGATAATTCTTGTCAGGGATACTCCATCACTACAAATGTCTGTCAATTACATAGCTCTGTCAGGGGTACCCCACCACTAGAAATGTCTGTCAGAGTGTTTTTGTAATACCTGAAGATGTACGTTACCTTGCTGTGCGATTTTCATGTGGTACACTTTTGAGCTAATCTAGACTAGTTGGGGGGCATGGCATTTTTGGCGTGGAATACCACACCCACCACCAGAAACCTGGCAGACTTACATTCTGATGATACCAGATATACATACATTGATACCATATAGGAGAAAATTGGTACACTTTTCAGCTAGATTAACCCCCTGGGCTCCCGCTCTATGTACAACAAAGGAACAAAGTTTAAATTTCAAATCTGTGTTTTTCTTTAATAAATGTTAATAGCACATAGTTTACTAGTTACAGCCTTGTGGGAATTGTAGAAATAAAAATCTAGAGATTAGTTAACTTGCTTACTGAAAAATTAAGAAAATTACGTATTCCAGTGCTATTGTGCAGCAATATTGATAATTCCATGTGTTGCAAAGATGTTGTGTATATAATTATGGTTACTCTTATACACGACGATGTTCTAGGGGGCGCTAGAGTCGTTAGCTGTGAAGTTAGTTATCCGTTAGTTATTTAGTTATTCATTATTAGGATTTACGTCACAATTCTGTGATCCGTAATGCCTTAAAGTTAGAATTTCATATTTTCTAAGAAAGTCAAAACATAATTATTTTTATGTCTTTTGCTCAATAGGTTATCAACTCACTATTATACGATCATAGATGTCATTCTCACACTTAAAACTCATTAACACCGGGAATAATAAGACATTTACCTCCCTTGTTTTCTATTCTCCACCATGGAGTAGTTATCTTCAAATGTTTGAATTTGAAGATAAAAATGATATTTTTGCCAATTTTCTCAACTGGCAATAGTGAATTATAGGATTAATGGGATAATTCTTTAACAAGGTAGGACTGTTATAGATACCATCTATTTTAAGGCTTTATTTTAATAAATTTTAAAAATTTAACTTAAAAATATGAAATTGCAACTTTAAGAGATGGTCTAAAACTAATAAATGTGAGATATATGCCGTGGATAATTATATATTTATCTTCATTTCGAAGTTATTGTATTACAACTAAAAATTATCCAGGTCAGTGTGTTTTCTATAGAGCACAAGGTAATTACGTGTGATCTACTAGGATGGTTTTTCTACGGTCAATTCAGCTATTTCGATTATTTAAGTAGCCAAAAGGGAATATTTAATTAATAAATAATTATCATAAGCCTAACTAATATTTCATTTTTAAGTACAATATATCATTTTTTGTGTACCCCATACTGAAATGAAATGAAATGAAATGGGGTTTAACATCCTACTGTTTTGCTCCGAAGTGGGCTAATGAAGACGGGCATACGCCATACAGTGATCTATGAGGGAAATTTTGCCCGGACAGCGGCACTACGGCCTACTCTTATATCGAATTCCAACTGCCAAGGGATCTTTTACGTGCACGCCAATGTGTACACGGGACCTCGGTTTTTCATCCCCTCCTTCCTGCACCACTGACAAGGGGGAACCGCGCCGGAAAATCTGGATGAACTTTCTCGGCCAATGCAGGGATCGAACACCCGACCTCCAGGCTTGCGAGCCAGCGTCCTACCCACTTAGCCACGTGATCCCCAACCCCATACTGACAAAGTGGTATAGACATGTGAATTTACAATACCCTACCATGAATAAAAAAATCATGAAATATGAATTTACTTTGCAAAGCTTTTGTGCATTATCAAAAATGACCGGCAGTGAAAATTTTGAAGTGGAAGCCCTGGTTCCAACCACAATTATGGTTTTGAGAACTTTCCCTTCATCATCTAATTTGCTCTTTGGCAACATTTTGAGTCGTCAAGAAAACAATTGTATTGCAAAAAAAATTTGGTGGCCCCAAATCTAAATTTGTTGTAAAGATTACTAGAAACAGGAATCACTTGAAAATTGATAAGTTATTTAGTGGAGAAAGAAAACTAATACTCCCCTCTGGGATTTATTAATAATGGTGCAAAAATAAAATCTGGGTAATATTTAGAGCACGCCATAATACAGATATATAAAGCATAATTATGTGATGGAGTACATCTGGGTGGATGGGTGAGTGATGGCACTTGTTTTTATGGAATGTATAATAATAAATGGTAATAAAATAATACATAATTAGGTCATTAAAGTTGGAATTCTAATTACCTGGACCATTATAAGCCAAAATGTGTCGTTCCCGAACATGAATAATGGGGCCGATCTGAGCAGTGGAACAAGGATCAGGACATTTAGACCACATTCCCCAATCTGACATAACACAATCTGTAGAGCACGGTACATGACAGTCTTCATATGATGGTTCACCTCTATCATAATCCCAACATAAATTATCAGATACTCTCTCCTACAACATGATAATCATTTAAATATACAATATTTTAATTTAAAATCTATTATTATGATAACTTTACTTAAAGGAGCTAAATCGCTAATATTTGGGACCTAGAAATTGACACAAATGGGTCGCAACGCATATAATAATGTAATATGAATGCATATAAACTGATTTACATTCAATCATTTCCGTTTTTACTCTAATTTCAAATCAGTTATGTTCGGAAATGAAATAAAATGGGGGTTTAACGTCCTACTATTCTGCTCCTATATTGGGCTAATGCAGACGGGCATACGTCATACAGTGTGCTATGAGGGAAATTTTGCCCGGGCAGCGGCGCTATCGCCTACTCTTGTATTGAATTCCAACTGCCAGGGGATCTTTTATGTGCATTCCAATATATACATGGGACCTCGGTTTTTCGTCTCATCTGAAGTATTTATGGCGCATGCTCTCCAGATAAGAATATAGCGCCACCGTTTAATATGACTTGTGGAATATGTCTAGCCTCGTTCGTCCAGTCTCTTGTTACAAATAGAGATGAAACGCATTATGGTACACGATTCGTGTACCAATGGTAAAAGGTTTATTTTGTCTTAAATATTGGATATCAGAAGTCCATCTTTTCCCGGTAAGATTACCTCATCAATGTTGACTTAAATTGACAAATAATTCATGTTTTCAATGTCGAGGACTTTGGATGATATTGAGTTAGAGACTTAGCTACTTTAATTAAAGGTGAGAGATTACATCCCAGGAAATAATGAAATATATTATGCCAGAGGAGTATGTGCAGCTGTGTTTTTCTTTAATATGAAGTCTTTTATAAAGATTGTAATAAACAAGGTGTGGTTTGGTTAAACTAAATAATAAACACATATTTCTACTTTACAGTTAATTGTTTTAACAGATATTTGCATGTTTTCTTGTGGAAAGGTTGTTTTAAGTAGATCTACACTAATTTACTTACACCAGTTCGACTGATACATGTCTTGTATTTTGGTTGTCTGCCAGGGCCACATTCTGTCCGTGAGTTGGTGGTGCACTCTCCTACAGTGATGTTCAAACTATAACACGCCATGGGTTCACATGCTTGTGTTTCACTTAGGTGTGGACAGGCATTACCCCCCGGTCCAGGTAAAGTTAGCACTTCTCTTGTTCGATGTCTTTTACCTTAAAATAAGTACATTGAACAGTAATCAATTAGACCTAGAAATATAATGTGTATGCATTCATCAGCATCAAAGACAATTAAAAAAAATCTAAATAATTCATTCTGAAAGGAGAAATTTCTTAAAAGGATACATTCATTAGTATAAATATCAAAACCACATCCTTAGACCATTATTGATTTTTATAAAAATATATATAAAAGAATCTAGAACAGTTGTTATTTTTATGCATTTAATTTCATGAGATAAATTTCAAGGTAGTTCAAAAACTTGCTAAATACATCAAATCATTGAAGTTAGAAAAGAACTGATAAGCTTTGTACATGAAAATAGTTATATATGGATTATACATATCACATGCCATTATCAATTTCTTACAGACTGTAGAGCAGGATTTTCCCATAGTTTCATTTATCAGATGAATGTAGCTTAAACATACATTATGCAAGAGCTAAATCGGCAATACGCAGATCTTTCTTTAGGCCTGAAATGTGATCTAAATTATTAATTAGACTTTAATTAACTTATCCAGACAATAATTAACACTCAATGTCAATGCTAGCCTGTGATTATAACTGGATTAGGATCCGATTTGCAGCTCAACTTTCATTCATGATTTAACCATGAAATGGATAATCGAGACTATGTTTTTTATCGTACCGACTTTAGTAATGATAATTGAGGCTAGGCCGAAAATTCAATCGCTAAAATCTTGGTTCAGAGTGGATCAATTTGACTGAAATATTCAGCAAATTCCCTTTACATTATCTAGTTTTTAACTATTATTATAGTGAGAACTGCCAGCTCTTTATCTAATCTCCCATAATGTATCTTTAATTGTCAAATTTAATAACTACAGCCTTGAGTCGGAGTCATAATTTTAAAATGAAATTCCACAGGTTTTCAAACAGGGATGGGATTTCGCCCGTATATTCCGGACTTGTCCAACGCTATTTTCCAAATGCCCAAAATTGTCCGACCGGGAATATGCCCAATCGGACATCAAGACATGGTGAATAATGTTCAAAATTTCAAAATTAATATAGTGTACTGAGTGTATAACTACCACTCAACCCGATTATCGTTGATAATAGGCTGGATTGATTAGGTAATTAAGTGATCAATGTATTTATCGTGTTATACTGTCTATACACATACCTTGATTAACTACTTAATCTGCCATGATTGACTGACTTAATCCTTTGTCGGACAATTCATCAATCTAATCTTAAACTAAAGTCATTGCTTCCCCTTTGTCGGACTATTCATCAATCCAACAAGAGTGATTATAATTTTAATCCTCGTGGTTTCTCCATTAGCGGACATTTTAATTGCATTAATGTGAGCCGACAGCATCTATAAACTAGTCATAGATGTCACATATCGTAAGAGTATATAACACCCTAAATCAATGGACAGTCATTTTTAGGGGGTTGGGATGGCCTAGTGTTCTAGAGTGCCGTGCTTCGACCTCTAGCTGGCCGTTCACCTCTGGCTTGCGGCTGTGGTTTCGATCCCTGGTGTGAGCGTATGTGGCTTGGAGATAGGGGCGCCTTCTCAACCTCGTGGGTTTACTCTGGGTACTCCGGTTTCCTCCCACAGGAAAGACCCCTGTGCGTACGCTAACATAATAAAAAATAAGACTTGTCTGCGATATCGCCTTTGGTGGAAGCGGACGTTAAACACTAAGAACAACGGACATTCATTTTGTCTGCGATATCTTTTACGTCTTTTAAGACTCCATATAGAAATTCTCATCCACAGTGGCAGTATCCCGTGATCTTGATTGCCATACGAAAATTGCTTAACATATAAGGCAGTGTTTACTATGAAGCTATGTGCTAGGAGTCACGTACACCATATGCTGAAGTAAGCTATGCCTTTTCATGAGTGATTTAACTATCAATGTAATTTTAAAATACTTATTAAGAAGGAAATGGTGTTTTGTCATCACCACAAGTATTATCATTTCATACGCCTTTCTTTCATTTGCTGCCGTATAAACCAAAACATCTAATTTTGTAGGAATATTACTGACATACATTTGAATACCATAACCATATGGGAATTTAATATGAAAAATAGTGAGGTGTTCCTATTTCTATTACGCATGAATTTGAACATTTTGTTGACATTTTATAAAGAAAAAACGATGTTCTGACATCACAAACTATTCTTATTTCGGAAGTTCTGCATTCATTTGCTGCTGTATAAACAAAGACACGTAATTCTGAAGGAATATTACGGTTGTGAATATTTTGTTGACATGTGATTTTTAATTTTGGTATAAATTGAATACCGTATGGGAATTAAATATGAATTTTTATTACGTACGGGATTTGAATATTTTGTCGACATGTGATTTTTAATTGTGGTATGAATTCTTCTGCTTAAATAACGGTAAGAGTTATGCCCCTTTATTTTCGGTAAAATGTCCAACAAGAAAATTTTTGAAATCCCATCGCTGCTTTCAAACACTTTAAATTATCAATGTTCTTGTAAAACCTTATAACTCAATTTTATAGTGTGCTATGAGAAGTATTAGAATCCATGAACAACATTAAAAACTTGGATGAAAATAGGAATTGCAATTGATTTAACAAGACTGGCTTATCCAATAATCCCTCACCTCCACCTTCATCTGTTCTTTTCTTTCTAATATAATCATCACAATCTCTTGATCTACATTCGCTCCATGATGACCAATGTGATACAGAACAATCCCAATTACATCCAACTTGACAAGCTTGTGATACCAGCGGTTTATTCTGTACACAGTGATAATCTGCTGTTGGTCTTTCTCTACCATCTTCTGTAAAAACAAGAAAGGAATCTGATCCATAGAGCTATCATAATGTTTGGTAATGGGGTCAGTAACCCTGTGAAAAATAGTTTGAGTGATGCTACATTTTGACAAGGTTCCTTCTTTTGATGATCCAAACAATCTCAACAAGCTTGGAAAAAATCTCAAAACTCTGACTTGCAACACATTTCCCAAAAAAGTTCTGAGAACTCTGATCTGTAGAGTGTCTATAAGAATTGTGAATGGACTGACAGACGGACATACATGTAAGTGTAGACAATATACCATACTTTCTCAGTGACCCATAGGAGTTCAAAAAAATATTTCCATTCTGAACCTACAAGACACACTCTATTTCAATAAATTATTATCAATCAAACTATTTTGTCGATTATATATGTATTACCACATCAGATACAGGTTTTCTAAATACATGTTCAAACATATGTTCATACAATAATTGGCTATCACGACTCTAGTATTAGTTACTGACAAATAATTGGCTTATCATTAGAGTAACTGATACGTCTACATAAATTCAATATAACTATTTTATTGAATTAACTGATGTACAGTAATCATGCTTTGGCTTATAATAAATCTTACATTAGCTCTGGGACAATTTAGTTATCATATTGTATCTGTCACAATAATTCAGTAAAAACAAATATCATTTTGACATTATAGAATAATCAAATCAATTTTGCTCTTGGATTCTGATTTTATCATGAGGTTTATAATATAATGGCAGTGTTTATTCATGAAAAAATTAAATCATTTTCTATGTGGGGACATCTTGCAGTTAGGTCATGGGGAATTTAGTAATTTCTATGAAGGGGTAGTGCACATGTCAACAAGTGGTTAGGTCTATTAACTAACAATGGCATATCTCAAACCTCTAAGTGTCAATCAATAAATGTTTTGGATCTTTAAGTCCCCTCCGCTATCAATGCTGATTATGTATATAATGCTAATTGTTAAAAATAATTGTTCACATAGACAGTGAAATCAGAATTTTGTAACTGGAAGCACTACTTTTTACCATTGAAATGTTTATATCTAATGGCCTAACTATATTGCACATGTGAATGTTATGTCTCAATCTTTACATCAAACTGTGTATGATCTATCAAATAGACATGATATTCATCAAACATGTAATTACTCAATTAATAATAACACAGACAACAACAAAATAAACACCAAGAGACAGAGATATATACAGAAACACTATAAAAACATTCATACACATCCTCCTATATTGTCATCAAAAGAACTTTTTAAAATGATGTTATTTTACCTTCAAGACTGACACAGATTGCCTGCCTGTTCTGTATACCTGTACCACAATGACTGTAGCCTGGTACTGATTCACATGGACTCCATGCTGATAAGATCCATTTAGTTCTAAAGGAAAATAAATGTCTGTTATATAAACTCATCAAACCACAAAGAAGAAAAACGATAGCTATCAAAAGCAAAACATAAATATTCTTTTTAGCTTAAAAAAAAACAGGCATCAAATGTAATCCAGTTTGAAATATGTACACAAAAAAGCACTGAAGAACCATAAAAATGATTATGAAGAATTTGGGCAGATAAAAATGGACTTACAATGTTTCCATTTTATCCTGGAACAACCAGATTATAAATTAGAACATGCATGTGAACATCAACATCCCTATGCTTACCTTTTACATGGTTTTAAAGAGAATGGATCTTCTCCCTGGATTTTAACAAATTCATTGAGATTTGATTGGCATTCTTCACCATCTCCGAGTGGTAATTGTAGAACTCGACGTTTACGAATCATATAACCAGGTATAATACCCTTCTCATCAACACAGCTAGCATTTAATGGTAATAGTTGTGACCAATCTGATACAATACAATCTTGTGGAATGATACATGCCTGATGTTGGTGTAAAACAGAATCTACAAGTTTGTCTGAACAATGCCTAAAAATACAAAATGATTATTCTAAATACGGACAAGTATCTTCATGATATATAATGGCCATGATCATTAAAGGTGAATTTTTCCTTGTAATTATTTTCAACACCGATCATTTACATAATTAGCAATACAATTAAGCTGTAATCTTATCCTGTAAATTTTGTAAACATAAAACATCATAAAAATGTTTTGATATTGAAGTCGGGAACTATTTCACTAGTATTTAGTCACTTTAATTCTGGTGTCCTGTTTGAATGAAACTAAACAGTATCTAGTTTTTCATTCAACGACTAGCATCGGTCTCTACTCGGTCTGATGAATGTACTGAACATCTCGTCAATAATGGGTAGTTCGCCATATGAGCATATTTTTTCAGCCAATAAGATAGCTTCAACACCTTTTCTGGGTTAAATGGTTGCATATGATGATCAAGTAGTTATTTTAAAATCAACAGAAATATCCAGAAACCAACAAAGATTGTATCAAATGGATTTACTGGTGTTCACATCTACTTGCTGGAGATAAATTGCAACCTCATGATTAAATTTTTTGTTGTGTAGGTGAGAATAAATACAATCTATTTCTGATAAACTTACCTGAAGGCAGTTAATGACCCTTTGGCATTTAAACATTTAATATCTCTACTTTGATATCCAATTAATGGATGAGTTTTAATATTTTTTGCATAACCTTTTTCAAATGGTCGACATGGTTCCCATGGTTCTAAAGCGTATGTATAAAAATCAGTACAATTATCACAGGGTTGCATTTCAGAAAAGGGGGGACAATGTTTTCCACCATGCCGAGGGGGCAGAACTATCCGTCTCGTTCTTGTTCTATTATAAACCTGACAGGAATTATCACAGCTACTCCACGAAGAAAACAAATCTACAACACAGTCTTGTCTACATAATAATTCACAAGATTCTTTTGTTATTGGTTTTGGTTCTTTCTTCTCACACAGAAAATCAACTACTTTTTCCTTAGTTGTTTTATGCTCGCACACAACAACGCGATGGCGTACACCCTCATTGCGTCCACACATTGCCACATTTGGCGCCAATTGACACCTACTCCATTCATACACAGACCAGATGACATCATTATTATCTGACCAAGTTTCTCCTACATCCTCTTTCAAGATGACATCACTTTTAACACATTTCTTGTAACATTCTCGCATACCCTCTGGTTTAGGGAAATGAACACAGTTAATTGGGTGGACAGAATTACCATTCCTGATTCTACACCAAACTTCTCTATGTTGTAAACCACCATAACCACAATGTGTATTTTCACATGTACCCCAAGCACCTGAAATATTGATAGTAAACAAAATTCAATCAACAAATTCAAAAATCCCATTACTGATTGTAACAACCCCCAGCCTTAAGGTAGTTATGGGGGCCGCTTACAAAAGTGTAACTGAACCTTCTGTTAACAGCTACACCTTAATATAAACAGCAAAGTTAACTGACTCTTCCAATTATAAATTTAATCTAAGGTCTGGATACCGTACGGAGGGAGATAGGTCGAAGGGCCTTCTATCTCTTACTAACTCGTCTAAGACAGGAATAAAAGGTAGCACGTCATTTCAGTCCCGCATCATTTCGGACTCAACACAGACGACCTCTCGGACTGAGTTTGACGACCGTTCGGACTTACTTGATGACCGTTCGGACATACTTGACGACTTTTCGGACTCTGTCTGGCGACAGTTCGAACTCGGATGAATAATTATGAATGAGTTTGCGAGAGAACCATGCAAAATTTAAAAAAAACAGCACAAGCTGTGTCAGCCGATTTGGACCAAACTGTGCAGATTTGGTCATTGGGTACCCCGTATACCCCACATGAAATATTAGGGTCACCAACATTGTAGTTACGGAGAACCAGCTATGGCCATTTTAGAGTAAAAAAAAAGTTATTTTTAAGAAAATAATCCCTAAATTCAAATATTTCCCATAAATTGCCTATTGATTATTTATTTTTTTAAATATGAATGATCTTATCTATTACTTCAATATATACTCTTCAAAAAAAGTAGGAGATATTGAAATGCAAATACCTATGCGGGTTGTAATAGGATAAATAGTCATGGACACTTGACATGCCTTGAGAGTATGTTCACAGATAAAGAACTTATCGCCCCAACAGAACCACTGAGCTGCACATGCGACACGCAATAGCGCCATACACGTGGGAGGGGTTCGTTGTCAAATTTGCCACTTCAAGGAAGGGTTAATGAAAACTGCTGCGTGCTGGTTTATCCTATCCATGTTTGCTTTCCTATCGGTTCTTGCATAAGATTTACTGTTTAGCGTATCTTTGCTTTAGTGTGTTACATTTAATTTGATCGGGAGACATGTTCGTCGACGTCGACGTCAACCCTGCAAGAATTGGCCGTGTGACTGCAAGAGGAGTGGGTCAGATTGCCCCAAATCATGATTGGACAGTTGATTAGGAGCTGGCCACGACGAATTGCTGAATGTCTGGGGATTGGTGGAGCAATTACTCATTATTAAGACAACAATCAAAAACGTCCATTTTCACTTTTGACGATGTATCTCTTTGCGGGTGAAATGGGGCCGCCAGATAAGCCGCCCATATGAACTGTTTATGTTCATGTGTAGGCAATTGGCCTGTTATTTACATACACTGGTTACCTCTAATAAAAACAGCAGTGCATTTCCGCATTTTTGTATTATCTCTGAATATCTCCTACTTTTTTTGAAGAGTATATATGACTATTAAATTTTTCGGAAACCATTTGAGGTTATGGGGAATTTATTTTGAGACATAGTTTTTTCTATATGCTAAACCATATAAATTTCATGATGCTATATCTCACCCACTGCGGGGCTGAGGGGAATTCTAATAATAATGGAAGTTGAGGACTACTAATACTAATATTTGGTTTTGACAAAATGACTGGCACAGATTTCTTTCATATTAAATTTGATGGTCGAACTTGAAGAAAATGACTTCATTTCTGACATCATTTTTCCAATAAAATCATTCATTGCCTGGATTATTAGGCCTGATAATGCTCCATGCAACTGCCTTCCAGCAACCCTGTGTAGGGCCGTTACATATGATTCAGGAGTCACAAGGATCAGTCCTTGGACCTGTTCTTTCTGTAATGTATACTAAGAATTTAGGACAACAAATCGATATTCATGGTTTCTAGGACGAAATTCTTATACAGATAATATACAGCTGATTGCAAATTACTCCCTTTCAAAAACTGTTCCATCCCCTAATTATTCTGACATCAAATTGTGTACACATGACATTAAAGATGGGATGACAAGAAATATGTTGAAATTAAATGTAATTGAATTAAGTATTTTATTTGGTCCAAATACACATCTGAAAAATACAAGTTCAAATAATGTGGTTGTACGAGATGCAATATTTGTACCATGCGACACTGTGAAGAACTTAGGTGTCCTCTAGGGTCCAATTGAAGCATGGACAATCACATTAGTTAAATTTGTCGAAAGTGTTATCTTCAGTCCATGAACATTGGCCATATAAGCCACATAATTAGCCAGGAAGCAGCTGCTACACTTGTATGTTCTCTGGTATTCTCAGGGATTGACTACTGTAACAGCTTGTAAGTAGAAACATCTAGTGCCAATATTAAAAAAAAAAATTGTACAAAATATCGCAGCTCGAATTGTTACCAGATCATCAAAATACTCCCATATTACTCCTGTTCTGAAATCACTCCATTGGCTGCCAATAAATGAAAGAATCATCATCAAAAGTCTGTCTTTGACGTATCAGTGTATGAATGACTTACCTCAAATATACTTATCTACTCTTACGCAAATACAAGTTCCCTAACCTCCGGCCGAACACACCTCCATCAGTTGTGTTGCTCAAAGTGGAAATTAAAATGATTTGGATACGGATCATTCTCAATGAACGCGCTTAAACTGTGGAACATTCTTACAGAGATCATTAAATCACCTCAAACTCTTTCTTGTTTTAAATCAAGACTTAAAACCCATCTTGTTATCAGGATTAATTAAATTAATTTAATTGTATGCGAATATCGAAAGGAACCAAGATCTTTGGGTTATAAACTTACATTTCAAGTTTCATCAAAATCAGAAGAAAATTGTTACCTCTTGAGGGTCCACAACATTGATATACTATATTTATACGGCCATTTCATCTGTCAGTTTTGGTCCGATTTTTACGAAATTCGAACTCAACCATTCTTAGGGTGTAACGGTGATATATTCAAAGTTTTTTTTTAAATTGGATAAAAATTATGACAGCTATAGGGTCCACAAGCTAAAAACGTGATTTTTCGTACAATCAAGGGCCATAATTCAGGAAGTTCCAGTCCGATATGCGCGAATATCGAAAGGAACCAAGATCTTTGGGTTATAAACTTACATTTTAAGTTTCATCAAAATCATAAGAAGATTGTGACCTCTAGAGGGTCCACAACCTTGATATACCATATTTTTACGCTATTTGAGAACAAGAGGCGGACATTTTGTCTGTCATTTTTGATCCGATTTTTACGAAATTCAAACTCTACCATCCTTAAAGTGTAACGGTGATATACGAAAAACGTTTTTTTAAATCGGATAAAAATTATGACCACTATAGGGTCCACAAGCTAAAAACACAATTTTTCATAGAATCAGGGGGCATAATTCAGGAAGTGACGGTCCGATATGTGCGAATATCGAAAGGAACCAAGATCTTTGGGTTATAAACTTACATTTCAAGTTTCATCAAAATCAGAAGAAAATTGTGACCTGTAGAGGGTCCACAACCTTAATATACCATATTTTTACGCCATTTGAGAACAAGGGACGGACATTTTGTCAGTCAGTTTTGGTTCGATTTTCACGAAATTCGAACTCAGTCATCCTTAGGGTGTAACGGTGATATACGAAAACATTTTTTAAATCGGATAAAAATTATGACCTCTATAGGGTCCACAAGCTAAAAACGTGATTTTTCTTACAATCAGGGGCCATAATTCAGGAAGGTATTTTTCGTACAATCAGGGGCCATAATTCAGAAAGTTACCGTTCGGTCGAAAGGAACCAAGTTCTTTGGGTTATAAACTTACATTTCAAGTTTCAACAAAATCGGATAAAAATTGTGACCTCTATAGGGTCCACAAGCTAAAAACGCGAGTTTTATACAATCAGGGGCCATAATCCATGAAGTTACAATCCGATACATGCCAATATCAAAAGGAACCCAGATCGTAGGGAGATAAACCTATATTTCAAGTTTCGTTGAAATTGTGGACGGACGGACGGACGGACGGACGGACGGACTTACGTACGGACAGGGGCGACGACAATATACGTCCACATGAAAATGTGGGCGTATAAAAACGATGAAAGTATTGTTCGTCTCCAAACACATTGTAACCGTTTTGATAGCCTCATTTGTCACGCAATTATTTTTTCTGCAATATTCTACTATGTACTGGTTAATTGGGCGTAATAAATTTCGTGAATCATGACGTAACGTTATGTAAACATATTCGGAGCTCGGTTTAAACCCGAATAATATTGTTACGCAGTTAGGTATTGGTCAATCTGATTAAAACACAGATTCAATTTCGTTTCGTTTTTATAGTTCAAAATTTTGATTTTACTTGGATCTGGAAGCGTTGTTATTTAACTCGTGATCTGCTTGAAATGAGGGGTCAGCCAATCAAATGGTCTATCGAATCGAGTGTTTGACCTTTTTTGCGCGGAACTGTGGGTAGACATTAGCGGCAATAGAAATCAAAACAAAGCAAAAGTAGATAAAAAATACAAGGCAGTCGCTAATTGGTTAATCGAATGACTGACGTAATCGGGTCAAATGTCGCTTGCTTGGTACCTGACGTCATAGAACGTGAACTCCCACTATAACTTGTTAGTTCTACAGTGTAGGCCATCGAAAGTATAAAAAACGAAATATAGATCTATATTTTAATTATTTCTTCTACTGTTAATTCTGTTTGATTCTGTATGATAACTTCACCAGTCTGTCTACTTTGCACCTTGTTTCTTATTTTCTACACAAGGCTATAGATCTCCTTGCTTTATGCCACGATGAAAAGTATTCTAAATGTTTCGATAATGATGAAGGAGTTCCTTGAGCATTTATCATTAAACTGGTTGCTGTTATTTTCTTACATTCAGGATCATTTGGTAGGAGTTGATATTCTTTTGACGAAGTGATTATTTCTTTTCCATATAAGAAATCTGGTCTGGTGATCCACTGAGATTTCTTTATGAAGTCTTGAACTGTTATTCTTCTAGTAACAATATCTGCAG